TGACACTTTTGGAGGAACATACACACAAGAAATGCAGAACTTACCAAAAAGAAAGGAAATATATTCAAAAACTGCGAGATGACATTATGTGGCAAGTTTGGTGAAGAAATATGGTACGTTATTCAAGATCTGCTCCAGAAACGAGGACTACCGCCATTTTCAGTCTAAGTCAAAGTCGTTGCCATGGAAACTCGAAAAAAAATTATTTTTTAAAATCCCAAACCATCAACAGGCACCAGTTCACCACTAGACCTATCTATGTGCCAAGTTTAGTGAGGAAATATGGTACGGTTTTCAAGATCTGCTCCGGAAAGGAAATGTGACGGATGGACGGAGAGATGGACGGACAGCACTCATTCCTATATCCCCCTTCCACTTCATGGCAAGGGATAATAAGTATGTCACTTATGTCATGTATGTGTTTATGTGGCTTAAGGGATATTTTTTAATCCACATTTATTCCACAAAAAAAATCAAATTAACAAGGCAACAGATGTTGTTTTCAAGATTAATGCTATTCAGCTGTTTATTAGTTCTACTCCAGTGGCACAAATTTGTCACACAAACACAAAATGCACCACTTCAAGACTAGTTGTAGGGTTGTATTTATTCAACAGTGGTTGAGGGGGCGTAGGGGCCGGGCAGTCCAAAGCACCAGGTGATGAGATCGTATCCCGCTAGTGACCAGGTTATGATATTTGCATTTAGCTTTCATTCATTTGCTGTTGCATTGAATAGAATCATTCGTGTTCCTCTATGTTTTCGTTGGGAAGCTCTTCCATGCGAGACAGATATTGTTTTCACAAGCGTTTGTAGGCCTTTGAAGCCATGTATATGTTACAGTCAATGTGTAAAATGTGATTCACTCAGGCAATTTATTAAATGTCTAAATATTTCAGTAATTTACAAATTGATAACTGAATATTTAGGCATTTAATAAGTTGAAAATTTTACACATTTTGACTATAAAATATACACACGATAAAATAAGCAATGCTCAGGTGAAATATTTACTTTGTGTTGCAAGTTAGCATAGTGTAAACAAAAATCTCACAATACCAAGCAAGTGACTGATCAAAACCTCGTCACCTTTACCATAACTACCCACACGGATACCTACATTTCCTTATTATTTCCAAGACAAAACTGTATTTCATTTTGTTGATAGTGTCAGTTACACTATCAACAAAAGCGACAAATGCGCTTATGAATGGTGCAGCACAGGTCACGACCTAGTCTAGATTTCTGCTATATCATCCAGGTACTCAAAGGTAAAAACAATAACAAAGGCAACAAACAGTCCCGGGGAATTGCTGTAGCTCCGTGCCCCTTAATGTGGGAGGAAAGCTCGAAGTGATACAGGTCACAGACGTTTACCACTGCGATGAATCCCACGAGCATGGGTATGGTGCTGATAAACCTAGAAACATAATCGGGGCGAACCGGGATTCGAACCCACAATCATAGGTTTCTGGCGTGCCCAAGGGATGAAACTCTGCACAGCGAATTGCGGCGCCTTGGATAACTGTGCATCTGTGCCCCAGACCGCCAAGGAGCAAGTAATGGTGGTTCTTGGAGAGAAAAGAGTTTTATCGCTTGTCTAGTTTGTTGGGGCAGTATACCATAGCTTGCTTTCAATTTGTGGGTCAGTGCTTAGTATAACACCTGCTCACTCTGGCAGACCTGTTATTACACATATAGACAGCCTATTCATGAAGCTGTCGTATCGCTAAGATTGGCGTAAAGGAGGTGTAGCCAAACAAATCTTCCCTCAGTCTATTCTCAAAGCTGTCAGTGATACGTTATCCTGAGTTTAACACAAAAATTAAGGCAGGGTCGGACCTGTCTTAGGAGTTTACAACAGGAACAATGGCAACCAAAAGACATCTTGTTGAAGAAAACACTTCGACAGTATGGGTCTGCTGTATCATTTCTGACCACAAAACTGAGTTTTTTCCACTTGCACTTTCAAAACCTGAACAACAGATGCTAGCAAACCTCGCTGAAATGTTGTATTTATCAATAATGACTCATGCCTAACTGCAAGTCAATAACAGATGTCAGCATAACAATCATTCCAAATAAAAAATTTTGTGAAACAAGATTTTTCGTATATTTCAGTCGAAAAACTAGCAGCGTATGTGCATGCTATCGCAATGACCGTGACTTTTTCTTGTGAATGGCAGTTAATTCATATGGAGAGTGACCGTGGTTTCCCTGTGACTATGAACACAACATATGAAATATATAGCATGTAACAGATTGAGCACCTTGTTGATTATGTGCAGCCAATGGCATGCTGTTTGAAAATCAATTAATCCATGAATGATTATTCCATTATGAAAGATGAAAGAAAACGATTCAAGCTTATTCTTCAGTGTTGTGTAAAAAATACTTAAGATATATAAGGTCGGTTTACAACGATTCAAACTTATTCTTCAGTGTTGTGTAAAAAATACTTAAGATATATAAGGTCGGTTTACAACGATTCAAACTTATTCTTCAGTGTTGTGTAAAAAATACTTAAGATATATAAGGTCGGTTTACAACGATTCAAGCTTATTCTTCAGTGTTGTGTAAAAAATACTTAAGATATATAAGGTCGGTTTACAACGATTCAAACTTATTCTTCAGTGTTGTGTAAAAAATACTTAAGATATATAAGGTTGGATTACAACGATTCAAGATTATTCTTCAGTGTTGTGTAAAAAATACTTAAGATATATAAGGTCGGTTTACAACGATTCAAGCTTATTCTTCAGTGTTGTGTAAAAAAATACTTAAGATATATAAGGTCGGTTTAAAATCTAGGTAGGTTGATTCACATTCCTTTCCAAATTATCAATCTGCTCTCAGGGAGCGTTGCATAAACCATTTGTAAACCACATCGCAGTTTGCGGGACATCCTGTATGTGTGGACGCATGTTTCCTTGTTCTTTGTTCAGGATTTCCTTCTCACATCCAGCAAAAGGATGTTAGTTCAATTGTGTTTGACAACCTGTCTGTTTTTGGCATGTGACCATACCGATATGATGCACTTATTTCTTGTCCTTGTAGATAGTATCACGTTTATTAGGCTTAGCAAAATAAAAGAATTGGTTCTCAGGCAATGGTTTTTGAAAATATAGTGTGGGTGGGTGGTGTCTTCTTTTTTTTCTCTTTTTTGGGGGTTGTTCAAACTAGTATGTAACCAAATAAAAAGTTGTGTAATATCATCCTAGGAATACAGTATTTGACTACTGTTGGACTTGGAATATTTAAGGATTTTAGCTTAGCCTTTGATGTGACAGTTCGCAGGAGATAGATCAAGATTAAAGGACATGACAATGAATCCCGAACGTGTAACAACGCAACATACATGAATAGAGGATATTTACAAAGTTATTTAGCAAGTTCTATTTTTATTTCTATTGTGTGGGGTTCAAGGAGGATATAGGCATCTGTGATTAACTTTCTTGAAAATTTGCTTTTATTTAATATGCTCAGAAGACATGCATGAACAACCTTATTCTATGTTAAGTTAAATCAGTATCGATATGCAAATTTGATCATCTGGCATTATGTCCAAAGGCTTTTTACTTTTCCTTGTGATTGTTCCCTAGACCCAGGGCAGCATAGTTATCGAAAGCTGCAGTCTGAAGTACAGTCAAGTCGTTAATCCGACACTCGTTAATATGACAATTGGCTTTATACGACACTAATGATGGGAACCGATTAAATCAATGCTATTTAGACCAGTTAATCCGACAGCACTCCCGACTCCGACACACCTAATTTGCAATGAATTACCGAAATCACTCAATCATCATCATCATCATCATCATCATCAGTCTCGTTTATCCGACACAGTGATGAGCGTACTCCGTGGTTATTTGCCCGCGAGTAAACAGCCAGTGTTTTGATGCGAGACGAGTCGGCTGGTAGCTGCATATTACAAAGCTGCAGAGATACACTTTGCTCAACAATAAACAATTAAGGCTTTAAATAAAGAAAACAGGATTAATCACATGCTTAGATTACATCAATCTCATTAAAATCAGATACAAGTTCTCGCTATTACCGAGGACATCCCATTACAGGTCACGTCAGAAGAACCTTTCGCGAACTACGACCGACAAACCTTGGTACTACTTAATTTCGTTTATCAGACATACTCACAAATCCGACAAAATCATATGCAACCAGCCACGTCGGATTAACGGGACTTGACTATAATATTGTAAACAATGTCATGATAAGTTGACTTGTTTCACTGTGTAGCATTTAGTCTAGTCGTTGTTTGAGTTGAACGTTGTTGTTTCTCAGGTTAAAAAGGGCACAGCTATCGTCCTAGCTTTGTCTACAAATTATTTCAGTTACAGGTGTTCTTATAAACTGAATGAAAAGAACGCTGTAAAATGTAAGACCCTGTTTATATTGGCAAAAAATTGACATGGTTGCAACACATTTGCTACGTCCCACAACTGCCACGTGGCTCATGTCATGCTCCTTGAAAGCAAAATCGGTGTCATTGCTACTTATTTCTGCATATATTTTTTATCACATTTTCGTTTTCCCTTTGCATCATCCTTTGAATTCTGTATATTTATCTTCAATGCTTGCTGTATGTTTTTTTAAGGAAAGTAGCTTACGATTATATCCTTCATTGATCAATTGTACATAACAACAAATATTTATCACAACATCAACATCTATCTTCAATAGCAGTTTAAGCGTTTATCATTAAAACTTATATATAATTTAATAAACAATAACAATAAAAGTTTGATCTAGAAAATTCCCAGAATAATGGTTGACGTCTTTGGGATACACACAGCTTGTTTTACCTGCTTCCCAACAGAGCTCGCTGTCATAAGTAAGATGACGTTGTGAAAGATTTAAGACATCTTCAAGAATAGCTGTCACAGCAGTCAAAATATAAATCATAAGTTGCCAAGATTTGTCTTAGCTGAGACAGCTTCGTGACTAGTCTGTCAGACCTTAAGACAAAATATGATTACCTTTTCAGAAATATTTGATGCTGGCCTCTTCTGACCTTTCCTCATGTGATCCTTCTTCTCTCCCTTTCCCTGCCCTTGACCTTGGCCTTGCCCTTGCCTGGACTTGTGCCTGACTTTAGCCCCTGAGTGAGATGGCAGACCTTTAGGCCCTGTCCACAGCTTCCTGGCCACAAGGTCCTGCTCGCTCTTCCTCTTGGCACTGGCTTTCACCTGACCCAGTTTCACCGACACAGACTTCTGGGAGCTGCTTCCCCCTTTGGTGTCTTCTGACGTATCCTTCTTCATCACCGCAGCTTTCCGAGCCTGGAAAGAAAAACAGCAGAATTTGAATGAGTGATTTTTTTAATGTTTTTCCTCCAACCATCTTCCCAAGGCAAGGGAGTTAACTGACTGTAAAAGTCCAGTTCTCACCCTTGCCAAATTGGGCTAACTCCCTTGCCTCGGGAAGATGTCCTCCCACAAAATATCCTATATCTCTCCTAAACAAAAATGGACTACAATGTACCGACAGGTCCATGTCACAACAGTAGTATGAATGACAGGATACATCTACATGAATAAGGTAGTGAATGGAATTTTCAAGCTAAATCACTGTACATATGACAGAGCATCATTAAATGTACAAACCTATTCAGATGTTGCAGGCTAAGTATTATTTATTGTTTAATGCCACACTCAGCAATATTCCAGCTACTTGTAAGAGGCGGATAACAGGAATGATTTAGAACCAAAGTTGCCACCCGTGAAGATCCGGGTTAGAATTGGTCTTCAGCAACCTATGCTTGTCATATGAGGCGACTGATGGGACAACTCTGATCAGGTTCGCTGACTTGGTTGATGTCAATCACTGGCTTGTCTGGTCCAGACTTGATTATTTAAAGACTGAAGTCATAAAGCTTGAAGGTGGTGGTGGTTTGTTGTTTAACGCCGCACTCAGCAATATTCCAGCTATATGACGGCGGTCTGTAAATAATCGAGTCTGGACCAGACAATCCAGTGATTAATATCATGAGCATCGATCCACGCAACATAAAGCTTGGAATATTGCTGAGAAGGGTGTTAAACAACAAACACAATGTCAGCTTGTAATTAAAACTCTGGACCAGAATACCCAGCCGTGGACATTATGAGAAGGACTGTAAGACTAAGGCTCAATACATCTGGAGGAAGAGAACCTTTGTGCGACAGGGCATGTCAAGATCATGTGGGAGGGATACTCCACGGATCAAAATAAGTGGATCCAGCTGAGGTATTGCGGTACATTGGAGCACTGTGTCACCTGTGTCCTTTCCCTCTTTTGATGGTTGGATGTGAGTGAGTGAGTGAGTGAGTGAGTGAGTGAGTGAGTGAATGGGTGGATGGTTGTGAGTGAGTGAGTGGGTGGTTGTGAGTGAGTGATTGAGTGGGTGGTTGTGAGTGAGTGAGTGAGTGGATGGTTGTGAGTGAGTGAGTGGGTGGTTGTGAGTGAGTGAGTGAGTGAGTGAATTGGTGGATGGTTGTGAGTGATTGAGTGAGTGGATGGTTGTGAGTGAGTGAGTGAGTGGGTGGTTGTGAGTGAGTGAGTGAGTGGGTGGTTGTGAGTGAGTGAGTGGGTGGTTGTGAGTGAGTGAGTGAGTGAGTGGATGGTTGTGAGTGATTGAGTGGTTGTGAGTGAGTGAATTGGTGGATGGTTGTGAGTGAGTGAGTGAGTGGGTGGTTGTGAGTGAGTGAGTGAATTGGTGGATGGTTGTGAGTGAGTGAGTGAGTGGGTGGTTGTGAGTGATTGAGTGAGTGGATGGTTGTGAGTGAGTGAGTGGGTGGTTGTGAGTGAGTGAGTGAGTGGGTGGTTGTGAGTGATTGAGTGAGTGGATGGTTGTGAGTGAGTGAGTGAGTGGGTGGTTGTGAGTGAGTGAGTGAGTGGGTGGTTGTGAGTGAGTGAGTGAGTGGGTGGTTGTGAGTGATTGAGTGAGTGAGTGAGTGGGTGGTTGTGAGTGAGTGAGTGAGTGGGTGGTTGTGAGTGAGTGAGTGAGTGAGTGGATGGTTGTGAGTGAGTGAGTGAGTGAATTGGTGGATGGTTGTGAGTGAGTGAGTGAGTGGGTGGTTGTGAGTGAGTGAGTGAGTGAATTGGTGGATGGTTGTGAGTGAGTGAGTGAGTGGGTGGTTGTGAGTGAGTGAGTGAATTGGTGGATGGTTGTGAGTGAGTGAGTGAGTGGGTGGTTGTGAGTGAGTGAGTGAATTGGTGGATGGTTGTGAGTGAGTGAGTGAGTGGGTGGTTGTGAGTGAGTGAGTGAGTGGATGGTTGTGAGTGAGTGAGTGAGTGAATTGGTGGATGGTTGTGAGTGAGTGGGTGGTTGTGAGTGAGTGAGTGAGTGAGTGAATTGGTGGATGGTTGTGAGTGAGTGAGTGAGTGGATGGTTGTGAGTGAGTGAGTGAGTGAGTGGGTGGTTGTGAGTGAGTGAGTGAGTGAGTGAGTGAGTGAGTGAGTGAGTGATTATTGTTTTACGGCGTTTTAGCAATATTCCAGCAATATCACGGTGGTGGCCACCAGAAATGGGCTTCACTCTACTGATGAAACCTATGAACACTGGTATATAGTGATAACCCATGGATCATTATAAGTGGATCCAGCGGAGGAACAGCGACACCTCAGAGCACTGAGTGAGTCCGTGACCCGGGCCCCGTCCCTCTGCTGTGTGCTACAGGGAGGAGCCAGATGCAGAATCACACGCACCTTCATCTTCTCCAGCTTCTTCTGGCGAATCAGCAGCATCCTCTGGTCCTCCAGGGAGAAGTGGACGATCAGCCTCTGCAGCAACACAAACACCACACACGATCAGGCAAGAAGCAATTGGCAAGGACTGACAACAAGTCATAAGGTGAGTGGGGAGTTGGGTTTAACGCCGCTTTTAACAGTATTCCAGTTATATCACGGCGGTCAGCTTAATGTGGGAGGAAAGCCCGAAGGGATGCATGTCGCAGATGTTTACCACTTTGGTGAAACACACAAGCACGGGTATGGTGCTGACAAACCTAGAAACATAATTGGAGCAAACCAGGATTCGAACCCACAGTCATAGGTTTCTGGCATGCCCAAGGGACACAACTCTGCACAGCGAAACGCTGCACCACTGGGCCACCCGTGACCCCTACAAGTCATAAGGACTGACAACATGTCATAAGGACACTTAAAGGACTCGATCTGACAAACTGAAGAATATGAACTTCTCAATGAAGCCTCCAATCTCATTAGAGAGGAGGCCTGAACATCAGTATGACAACACTCAACACAAATTTGAGAAGTGACTTCAAAAACTTGTAACTGCGACATTATTGGTTCAAATAACGCATCACTAATCCTATGAAATAAGTTGCAAATATGTTGCTAGGGGAACAGGATTGGATACTTTTTACTGGACAGCCAGCAAGTGTATACAAAGGCACAAGAGATATAGGAATTGAGAGTACTGTCTGACCTTGCCGCCATGCACTGTGTTGTTGATTGTCTTCAGGGCTTCCAGAGCATGTTGGTGTTCCGAGAAATCCACAAACGCATATCCCCGAGACTTGCCCTTGCTCTTGTTGGTCACCCGGGTTGTGTCCCGCATGATCCGACACTACACAACACAACACAACACGTATCAGTAAGTAAGCACAACAGACGATAAGTAGATGACATAAAGCAAAAAGGCATCGTCACCAACATCACATCAACATCTGCAGCACAACATCATCAGGAAGCTGGTGTGGAGAATCCTGGTCTGTTGGTGTGGAAGAATATAAATAAAAAGATATTTCCGATTACTTTCCAATCTGCTGCCATGTGAGCAGTGTCTTACGGTCTTATCTTTTGTATGCACGGTTGTTTTTGTCATTTATACATGTTTACTTTGGGAAGAACGAAGAAAAAGTGTTTTTTGTTGTTGTTTTTCCCCATGTTACTTTATTGTAGGTTCTGCAGAATCTGAAACCAACTAAATCAAGAGTCGTCAGAAGATAACAAATCCCTCCGGTTCCCACAAATTTGAAAGAACAAATCATCTGACTGTTACTTCAGTCCAGCTTGATGAGAGAATTGCTATCGATTCTGTCTGTCTGTTTACAAGAGTAGTTATTGAGCTATCAAAATATCAAAACAATACCATGGAATTGGGATTCAAAACTTTGTATTTCTATGTCAGGTACACACCAATATCAACAGAGTCAAAGTCAAACTTGTTGCCATGGAAACAGAACTATATATTCTAAAAATCCCAAAGTAGGAAAAGGCACCAGTTGACAACTTGGTTTTTGTGTGTGCACAGTTTCAAGTAAGCTTACCTATTAGTTTTAGAGAAATTGTCCAGACAAACACACCACTTTGAACAGAGTCAAAGTCAAACTTGTTGCCATGGAAATATGAATTTTTATTTTTTTCTTAAATTCCTAAATGACAAAAGGCACTACTTCATCCCTTGGTTAATACATGTGCTCTGGCAAAAGTTATCCCCACCACACAAGCCCACCCCCTACACCAGATAACTTGATATATACTGAACAACAAAAGTTCCTGTGACATTGAATAAGATTTAATGCAAAGTTATGTTATTAACCAAACTGAAACAATTTCGGTTTGCAACAGATAAAAGACTCCTATAAGTGTTCAAATGGTTTAAATTGCCATACTGACTTCAGAAAATGCGTGATTTCATAAAAAAATGAACATGCCAAAATGTCAATTTATAAATCAATAGCGTGTGTGTCCACCTCTGATTGCGATGCAAGCAACACATCTTCGTCTCATGGAATGGACCAGGCATCGCACAAATTCCTGTGGGATATCTGTCCATATCTGTTGGAGCATGTTTCGAAGTTCCTGGAGTGTCTGTGGAACACGTGGTTGAAGTCGATGGCGCCGATCCATCTCATCCCACATGTGCTCGATTGGTGAGAGATCAGGGGAGTGAGCCGGCCAGGGGATGATATTCACGTTGTTTTGTTGAAGAGAATCCTGAACAAGTCGAACAATATGAGGCCGGGCGTCATGTTGAAAGGTAATGCCTGAGCCATGACAACGCAAAAACAGTAGAACAGGGCCGATGATCTCGTCATGGTAGCGCTGTCCATTGAGATTTCCCTCTACCACTATCGAACGGGTCCTTTGTCTTGCTGTAATCCCACCCCATACCATAACGCGGCCGCCCCCGAACCGATCTTCTTCCATGACACAATGATTGATGTAATGTTCATCTCGACGTCGGTACACTCGAATCCGTCCATCGCTGTGGACGGTGGTTTCCTGTCAAAATGGGACGTCTGGCGGTCTTCTGGCGACAATCCCTGCACATCTGAGGCGATGACGTACGGTTTGGGAAGATATTCGTCGAAAGCCAGGGATGCTTCTTGCAGTCACTGTTGCTGGCTGGAATCGTTTTCGTAGGTGTGTTGTACGAATCCAGTTGTCTTGTCGATTATTGGTTACACGTGGCCTGCCACACCGAGGATGGTCTCTGACTGCATTCGTCTGTTGCCAACGTTGCCATAAACACCAAATGGTGTTTCTGTGGACGTTAAATTGTCTTGAAACATCACGTTGACACGATCCTGCTTCAAGCATACCAACAGCTCGCAGACGCTCATTTTCTGACAGGCGTGGCATTTTGTAATGTTGAATAATTGCGTAATTTTGTTGTTTTTCTGAGTGGTTGTTGTCAGCACGATGCTAAACAACGCATATGGAATCCCGTTAACGTACATGTTTAACCTAAACAAAAGAACAGTCTGGAAAGGCTAATAGATGGTCTACATTGTATGGATTCAGTCATTAAGCCTGTAACTATCGTTCCGAATACCCCGTGTAAAAGTTTTCGAGGTTGCATGATTAGAAATCACATTCCGACTGTCACTTTCATGATCTGGTAAGCGAAGCTCTGATTGGTCGGATGAAAGGTCGTTCTGACGTGACCCCTAATGGGATGTCCTCAGATCTTTGTTTAGCGGTAGCGAGGACTAAGATCTGATTTTAATGAGATTGATAATGGTAATACCACTACCCTGATACTACTGTCCTTCCACTACCTTGGGTAAGACTTACCTCTGTTATATGTTTAGCTGCAACGTCTGTTGCTTCCAGTATTTTCTGTCTAAGCACCGCGTCTTCCATGGCAACGGGCAGGTTCTGGATACAGAGGCGGGTTGAGGACACAAAGATGTTTGCATTCTTCAGCTTCTGACGCATCTGCGATTCGATCTGTAGACACAAGGGACATAGTATGTTGTTTGTTGTTTGATGCTGCTCCTAGCAACATTCCAGCTATAAGCATCTGAACCAGACAATCCAGTGATCGCTATTAAGGAGAATGGTTGTTGGTGGGTTGGTTTGTTGTTTTACGCCGCACTCAGCAATATTCCTGCTATATGATGGCGGTCTGTAAATAATCAAGTCTGGACCAGACAATCCAGTGATTGATATCATGAGCATCGATCCATGTAATTGGGATCGATGACATGCTTCAACCAAGTCAGCGAGCTATTGACAGCAATGATCCACACCATCAGGTATGAGGACATGCAATGAATGAAGTCATCGAGTGAGTGAGTTGGGTTTAACGCCGCTTTTTAACAGTATTCCAGTTATATCGCGGCGTGTCAGCTTAATGTGGGAGGAAAGCCCGAAGTGATGCAGGTCTCAGACGTTTACCACTTCGGTGAAACCCACGAGCACGGGTATGGTGCTGACAAACCTAGAAACATAATCGGGGCAAACCGGGATTCGAACCCACGATCATAGGTTTCTGGCGTGCCCAAGGGACGCAACTCTGCACAGCGAATCGCGGCGCCTTAGACGACTGGGCCACCCGTGCCCCCTATGAAGTCATCGATTCTGACCACCTGATTCATTAAGTCGCCTCTTACAATCAGCATAGGCTACTGGACAGCACTTCTAACCTGGCGTCCCAAAGGGGCGACATAGGACGTAAGTTGTAAGCTTTGGTAAATAATATTAGAGATATCAAGGGATGAGAATGGATTTTTCCTTTTCAGCTGAAACTTCTTTTCAGTGGAGCGTGATTAATAATTTGGGGGTCAGGGTCATCAGATTTTAACAAATTTGTGGAAATTTGCGAATCCACAGATCTGAGGAAGATTCTCACCCCTGCATATCCCCACATGATTTGTAATCCACATACCAATCAATCACTGGTAATAATCCATTTTTCAGAAAACTGTTGATTGTGTGACATTCTACTCCAATAGTGTTAGCCAATGTTCATGTTATCGACCACTAGTTTTGTCTAGTCCTGATTACTTACAGACAGCCATGGTGGAATTGTTATAATGTTCACATTTTCAAAGAGAACTTGAAAGTTTAAAGAAAAGTGTTTGGAACAATGTTTAGAATCATAATATATTTTGTAGGTCAGTAGAAACATACACCTCCTTTCACTGAGGCTCTCTCTGTATTTAAACCAGTCTCACAGGAATTTTAGAGTTATCTACCTTGGCTCGTTTGTCAAGATCTGCCTTGGATATACCTTGAGCTGCCTGAGTGCCAGGTCGGATCACTGCAACATACAGACAACAGTCAGTAAACAACAACAGCTGCACCATCACATAGGCCACCATCAGTAAACAACACCAGGATTGGTGACAGAAGTCAACAACAGCCCTCTCTCACAAGGAATGGTGACAGAAGCCACCCACAGCTCACTCTCACAAGGAATGGTGACAGAAGCCACCCACAGCCCTTTCTCACAAGGAATGGTGACAGAAGCCACCCACAGTCCTCTCTCACAAGGATTGGTGACAGAAGCCACCCACAGCCCTCTCTCACAAGGAATGGTGACAGAAGTCACCCACAGCCCTCTCTCACAAGGAATGGTGACAGAAGTCACTCACAGCCCTCTCTCACAAGGAATGGTGACAGAAGCCACCCACAGCCCTCTCTCACAAGGAATGGTGACAGGAGCCACTCACAGCCCTCTCTCACAAGGAATGGTGACAGAAGCCACCCACAGCCCTCTCTCACAAGGAATGGTGACAGAAGCCACTCACAGAAGTGGTTTCTCCTTTACTTACAGCCCTCTCTCACAAGGAAGAGATTCCTCTTATCCAGCTTGTTTTCCTTCTTCTTTTCCTTGTCCATCAAATCATCAGCTTCTTTACGACTGACAGCATGTGAGAAGACCAACGGCCGGTCCATTATAGTGATGCCTCCATTCTGTAACACACCAATACTGTCTCATTTTCCTATACAAATGTGGCATGTATTGCTCCCAGTTCTGACTCCGGGGTGACTGGGGGCTCGGTGTAGGTGCCTCCATGGTGGTAAGCAAATTGTGAACTACCAAACTACCCTGTTTGCTTTTGATAGTTGATGTAAAGGCTAAACTGACAGAACCAAACTTGACAGATGTGAACATCCAATATATACATATCTAACAGTAAGACCTAGTCACACAAACCCAACCCCAGTCGCAAATATACACCTAACCTCAATCTAAGTCATACACATACATTGAACAAAAGATGTTTTGCTCATGAATATTTTAGGGGATATTTTCGTGAAATTGTGTGATCAGTCCTTATTACAAAAAACATCTCCAAAAATATTATCTCTAACATTTTTTGCTCAGTCTATATCTAACCCAGATCCTATTCACACATATATGTAACCCCAATCCCAGTCACAAATGTATCTTACCCCACTCCCAGTCACAAATGTATCTTACCTCACTCCCAGTCACAAATGTATCTTACCCAACTCCCAGTCACAAATGTATCTTACCCAACTCCCAGTCACAAATGTATCTTACCCAACTCCCAGTCACAAATGTATCTTACCCCACTCCCAGTCACAAATGTATCTTACCCCAATCCCAGTCACAAATGTATCTTACCCAACTCCCAGTCACAAATGTATCTTACCCAACTCCCAGTCACAAATGTATCTTACCCCAATCCCAGTCACAAATGTATCTTACCTCACTCCCAGTCACAAATGTATCTTACCCCACTCCCAGTCACAAATGTATCTTACCCCAATCCCAGTCACAAATGTATCTTACGCCACTCCAAGTCACAAATGTATCTTACCCCACTCCCAGTCACAAATGTATCTTACCCAACTCCCAGTCACAAATGTATCTTACCCCAATCCCAGTCACAAATGTATCTTACCCCAATCCCAGTCACAAATGTATCTTACCTCACTCCCAGTCACAAATGTATCTTACCCAACTCCCAGTCACAAATGTATCTTACCCCACTCCCAGTCACAAATGTATCTTACCCAACTCCCAGTCACAAATGTATCTTACCCCACTCCCAGTCACAAATGTATCTTACCCCACTCCCAGTCACAAATGTATCTTACCCGACTCCCAGTCACAAATGTATCTTACCCCACTCCCAGTCACAAATGTATCTTACCCCACTCCCAGTCACAAATGTATCTTACCCAACTCCCAGTCACAAATGTATCTTACCCCACTCCCAGTCACAAATGTATCTTACCCCAATCCCAGTCACACATTAATATCTAACCCCAATTCCAGTTCCACATTCCTATCTCACCCTTTCTATCCATTTTCCACTATCAACCATCATTTTGTACAAATTGATAAGCATTTTTCATACCCTTATTTGACCAACCTCTCTAAAATGAAAACTGTCCATCCTTACTTTCAGTAAATAGGTGATTTAAACCTCTACAAGCTACATACGATGGTTACCACTCACCCTGCTGGTGTCCTTTGACTTAGCCAAACACTTGTCGGCTTCCTCCACAGTGTCAAACTTGACAAATGCTGTGCCTGCAAGACACACAACCACAAGTTAACAAGCACTGATACCAGGGAAGCCTGGACTAACCTGAAGCTGAATGAGCAACAAGTCTGGTCTCACCTTTAGGGTGTTGAGCTTGGGGGTCTAACCGTTAGGGTGTTGAGAATAGTGGTCTAACCTTTCTGGTGTTGAATATATGGGTCTAATCTTTAGGGTGTTGAGTATAGGGTCTAACTGTGGTGTTACCTTTAGGGTGTTGAGTATATGGGTCTAACCTTTAGGGTGTTGAGTATATGGGTCTCACCTTTTGGGTGTTGAGTATAGGAGTCTAATCTTTAGGGTGTTGAGTATAGAGACCTAACCTTTAGGGTGTTGAGAATAGGGGTCTCACCTTTAGGGTGTTAAGTATATGGGTCTCATCTTTCGGGTGTTGAGTTTAGCATATTTAGGGGTCTAACATTAAGGGTGTTGAGTATAGCGGTCTAACCTTTAGGGTGTTGAGTATGGCGGTCTAACCTGTTGGGTGTGGAGTATAGGGGTCTAACCTTTAGGGTGTTGAGAATAGGGGTCTATCCTTTAGGGTGTTGAGTATAGGGGTCTATCCTTTAGGGTGTTGAGTATAGGGGTCTAACCTTTAGGGTGTTGAGTATAGCGGTCTAACCTTTAAGGTGTTGAGTATAGCAGTCTATCCTTTAGGGTGTTGAGGATAGGGGTCTAACCTTTAGGGTGTTGAGTATAGCGGTCTAACCTTTAGGATGTTGAGTATAGCGGTCTAACCTTTAGGATGTTGAGTGTAGGGGTCCATCACAAGTTTACAGTAGACAATATTGCCAAAGTCGGAGAGTACATCTTGCAAATCGTCTTCCTCACACCTGAAGGGAACATTTCTGGAAAATGATAGAAAAAATTCACAACAAAAGGTTAATGTCTGAAGGAAATCACAGAATATTTAATAACAGATTCTGTGTCAAAGTTAGGCAATCAGCAATTGTGATTAAAGGTTCTTGAGCTTCTTTGAAAAGTAGATAAGATATTTCACTGTCATATTATAGGAACTCCCCTGCCATTTCATTCAGTTAGGAGAATACTACACAGAACTGGAGCCCATAGCGTGGTTTGCTATATTCATTTTGGACAGTTGTACAGCACTTAGGTCCTGTTGCCATAGTTACCTGATAAAGAGAGTTTTCCCTTCACTGATGTCACTCTTTGCTTCAGGTTTCTTTTTCTTTTCTGCAAAAATATGAGTGGTTACCGTGGTTTCATCAAGTTTGTTTGTTGTTTAACGCCAAACTCTTGGCAATATTCCAGCTATATGACGGTGGTCTGTAAATAATCGAGTATGGACCAGACAATCCAGTGACTGATATCATGAGCATCGTTCTACACAATTGAGATACGATGACATGCATCAGCCAAGTCAGCTAGCCTGACAATCTGATCCCAATAGTTGCCTCTTACGATAAACAAGGTCGCCAATTACGGCAAGCATGGGTTGCTGAAGACCTATTCTAGCCCAGATCTTCACTGGTAGTGTGAAGAGGTGAGATGAAATGGAGTTTAACATCACATTCCAGGTTACTGCACTTATAGAGCAACGTGCATGCACGTGTGTGTGCGTGTGCTTGTACCAGTCCGGACTATTGTCGGTTTTCTTGTACTAGTCCACTAAGATATCATGAGCCGACCTGACCTTGTTTTAGGCTCTTAATGCCAAGCACCAGGCAGGGTAACAACAAGTACCATCTTTTAACATCTGGTATGATGTGGCCGGGGAAAGAACCACCGACCTTCTGCACTCTGGGCAGATGTGGTATCCACCACACGACGGAGCCACGGGTTCACTGACTTACTGGTTTTCTTTGTGTCATCTTCTGACTCGTCACTGTATCCCTCGTCACTGGACCCCTCGTCACTCGAACCCGAGCTGTCGGAATCCTCTGTGAAACCCAGAAGGCTTATATCAGAAACATAACATTCGTTTGGCCTGGCTAAAAAGATCGATAATCGGAGGTATCGTTGATGGGAGGAAATATCCACCATTATCGATATGAAATTTGTGTCACCAATGATATTTTACATAAACTAGTATGATGAAATAAAGTTTTAAGTTACCAAAGCAGACTTGTTTTTGTCCATTGCCGAAGACGGAAAGCAACTGATTTTGTTAAATCTTAAATGTCCACAAGGTAATCCATGCATAAATGTGTCACCACTCACCAGACGTGAAATGTTATGTATTGTCTCTTAGCTTTTTGTTTATTTGCTATAAGTTTCTTATCCGATATTTATCAATAATTGATAGATATTTAGTTGACAATTATCAATCTTCAAGATCTATATCGATAGCTAGCCCTCACATTCATACAGCACATACTGTAAATCGCGAAATTAATGCGATCACTGGACCCTAGCCAAAAATGCGACACCTCCTCCTCTCAAGCATCAGTGGATTTCTATCTAAAGATGTCCTCAGTCAGGTTTAGAATCCTCACCTTAATCCAACCTTACATTTATCCAATCACACGCCAAATAGCACTGCTTATTAGCGCTGAGTAAAGTACTTCCGCAAAAACAATACATGTGCGCTGGCTCGTGTCGGCCTTTGACACAGTCGCAATGAACAAAGGGTGGCGTCTGTCTGGACTTTCAGGTGTGATCAGTGATGACATAAGTGAGTAGAACTCTTGTCTTGACCCCAGCAGTGACAATTCACATGACGTAATTAGTGTCTGGATGACACTGTTTATATACTTCATATACAAGTGCTGCTCAATAAACAGTGGTGTGGAATACATCAGCGTATGTCTAAGTTGGTATTTTTGCTATCCAAAATGTCTTATTGTTGATATAGATGCGATGTTTCAAAATGAGAGCAAAGACCACTCGGATTTTTCGCATTTAATTCACGCTCGCGTTAATTTCAAGATTTACAGTATATCATATTTTGTAGTAGTGTACGGCAATACAGTTGTATACTCCCCAGGGAGCTGAGAATGATTCTTGAGTGCACAATGATCCAGTGACCGGGGTAATAGATACATACAATACATTTCATTACCAGTTATATTGGTGTAACAATAAAAGAATAATATGAGTTATGAATAATGTGAATAATAACAGAAACTGTTCAACCACCAGCTTATGCAGATTCTCCGTATTTCGGAATAACATTCACAGCGCCCTCTACCAATATGTAACTGCCCTACAATAACCCATCTTTGATCTCTGAAATTTGATTACAAACGATTCAGGGTTGTGATTCACCTGCAAAAATAAAGAACATCAACTTGCGACATAAAAGTACTGTATTGGGATACAAATCATATCACACCCATAGTATCGGGATACGTATCGTATCACCTCTAATATTTTGGTAATTATTGATATGATAATATAACTGTCCATAGCAAATATCAAATCTAATCACATTTCGCACTTTACCAAACAGATACCAGTAGTATCAGTACAAAAACTGAGCAGAGGCAAATACAGCACCGATGGAAATCTGTTTGATACATACGTAACACCTGAGCAAAACTGTAAGTGGGGTGGATCCCAGTCAGTGATATATCACAGAGGCCTGTAAGCAGTCCAGTCTGGACCAGTGGCTGATAGCATGAGCACCAATACATGCCATCAGGACACAATGACACACATTGTAACCACCCCACCCTCCTTCATGCCCCCAAAGCTAATAATAATGCTTAAATCCTACAAAGTTGCTGGAGGGGCAGTCGGGTAGCCTAGTGGTTAAAACGTTCACTCATCACGCCTAAGACCTGGTTTCGAATCCCGACATAGGTACAATGTGTGAAGCCCATTTCTGGTGTGCCCCGCCATGATATTGCTGGAATATTGCTAAAAGCGGCGTAAAACCAAACTCACTCACTACAAAGTTGCTGGAACTAAATGCAACAGAATGTACCAGTAGACTTATGCTGCCTACAACAGTACTTAATTGTTCAGGGCCTACTTACACAACAAGACTAATGTCATAACTCCAATACTTTAACAAGGTCTTTTTAATAGTTGCAGCAGTAAGTGCAGTTTGTGCATGTTTTAAAAATAATAAAATCTATAAAGTTAAATGAAACTTTTGAAATCAGCAGCAGCCATAACCATGGTTACTTGACATGGACATAGTCAATCATTTCATTTACACGAACCTTCAGGTTCTTCCTCTGAGTCTTCCTGCTCCTCCTCCTCCTCTGATGACATGGACTCACTGTCACTCCCTGCATTCTGGTCACTCTCACTCCCCTCCTCACTTTCTGCACTGAATGACCCCTCATCCACTTTTGAGGATGCGGCTGTATCTTTGTCTGTGCACAGGATGGAATATCACACAGCGTACATCACATACAGAATATCATACACAGTATTTTATAGGGCAGAGCAATTTGTTGTTAAACAATGTTGTAATTGTATTACATGGTTTCTGCTGCAATTCAGTAGCAGTTCACAGCATTGTGTTTTGACAATAATTGGTTGTCAGGAATGTGGTACTGTCTAATGTAAGCAGAGGTGTGGAAGTTACTATATTTAGCTGCTTATAGAGTCAAGTGTAATCTTAAATGTTCTAGAACAGCTAGACTAATCCAGCATGGAATAGAACCTTCTAGGAGATTTGTTTGGTTTGGTTGGTTTGTTGTTTAACACCTCACTCAGCAATATTCCAGCTATAATACGTCAGTCTGTAAATAATCGAGTCTGGACCAGACAATCCAGTGATTGATATCACCAGCATCGATCCACGCGATAGGGATCTATGACACGCATCAAACCAAGTCAGCGAACCTGACAACCTGATCCCGTTAGTCGCCTCTTACAACAAGCATAGTCGCCTTTTACGGCAAGCATGAGTTGCTGAAGACCTTTCTAGGAAATATTTGGACTATGTATGTGGGACAAAAGCATGCCTCTCTCATTTCACATTACATCAAGACCAGCAGTTGTGTGAAGATCATTGTTTTCACCTTGGATAGCCAGTCTAGGCTTGACCACTGATGCTGCTAGGTGAATATTATTATCACTGCTATTATTGATTATATTTTATACAGCCATTGAATTTTGTACTGCCACTCTATTGTGTACTGCCATTGTGATTGCTTTGCTGTAATTTGTATTGATTTGTAAACCTAGTCAATTTTATAATACAATTGTTAATTGTATAACATTGCATTGTTTTTTGTTGGTTTCACACTGGATTCTTTTACATTTAGATTTCTGGGTTAGCTTATTGTTTCAATTTTGAAGCCGACACGTAACAGTATTTATCATATACCTATCAATGATATGAGCATGTGCAACAGAGCCAAAATGGAGACGGTCATATGACATGGGGTGTAACAACCAGACACCCGCCGGACTGATACGGCTTGTCATTACATTTTGAATCAATATTACATCCCTTAGTGCGTTATCTGCTCATTTGCTCTGCTACCTTTCCTGTGACAATGACTTGCATTCACTTGCAATTATATACATTTTGCAAGTTTATGTAATGGTATATGATAAAAAGGTTATTATATGCCAGTTTTCATATCATACCCCATATCAAGCCTCGACCCCCACATCAGCCCAGTGGCCTTTGGCCCTTGAGCTGATATGGGGGGGGTCGAGGCTTGATGTGGGGTATGATATGAAAACTGTGATATACTGACCTCTAATTGTCAGACTGTATACAACACACGGTTATATCACACTCTACATATCACACTCTGCATATCACACACTATATATCATACACTGCATATCACACGCAGTATATCACACATGGTATATTGCACACAGTACATCACACATGGTATATTGCACACAGTATATCACACACTGTATATCACACATGGTATATCGCACATGGTATATCGTACATGATATATCACATGGTATATCACACACAGTATATCACACACACACACAGTATATCCCACATGGTATATCGCACAGGTTACATCGCACACAGTATATCCCACATGGTATATTGCACATGGTATATTGCACACAGTATATCGAACATGGTATATCGCACATGGTATATCACACATGGTATATCGCACACGGTATATCGCACACAGTATATCACACACTGTAGATCACACAATGGTATATTACACATGGTTTATCACACACAATATATCACACAGTATATCACACACTGTATATCACATATATATCACACACTACACTAAGAAGACAGTGGGGCAAGTATCTCACCTTTCAGTGCCTCGTATGTATGCTTGCTCAATGCCCAGTCCACTGCTACAGGCCGACCTACAACGGAGGGGACACATGCTCGTGATGCTCTGCAACTCGGGATAGAACATAACCTTCCAGAATACAAAGTAGGCTGTTATCAACTGACTTCCTTACGCTTGGGTACTAAGATGGGCTTTGATTAACTTACCTCCTATATCGACTGTCTTCATGTAACTATTCCACGTACACATTGTTCCCATTTATTAGTCATGCCATGTATCCTCTAGCCTGTTTACCGCCTACCTCTGTGTACCATCTATCTCTGTGTACCACCTATCCCTTGTACCATATATCTCCTTGTGCCACATATCTCCTTGTAACACCTATCTCCTTGTACCATCTATATCTGTGTACCACCAATCCCTTGTATCACCTATCTTCATGTACCACCTATCCCTTGTACCATCTATCTCTGTGAACCACCTATCTCTGTGTACCACGTATCTCCGTGTACCAGCTATCCCTTGTTCCACCTATCTTCATGTACCACTTATCCCTTGTACCATCTATATCTGTGTACCATCTATCTCTGTGTACCATGTATCTCCTTGTACCACCTTTCTCCTTGAGCCACCTATCCCTTGTACCACCTATCTCCTTGTACCATCTATCCCTTGTACCATCTATCTCCATGTTTCGCCTATCTCTGTGTACCATGTATCTCCTTGTACCACCTATCTCCTTGTGCCACCTATCCCTTGTACCATCTATCTTCATGTACCACCTATCTCTGTGTACTACGTATCTCCATGTACCGCTTACGTCTGTGTACCACCTATCTCCTTGTGCCACCTATTTCTGTGTACTACGTATCTCCGTGTACCACCTATCCCTTGTACCATCTATCTCCATGTACTGCCTATCTCTGTGTACTACGTATCTCCGTGTGCCACCTATCCCTTGTACCATCTATCTCCATGTACCGCCTATCTCTGTGTACTACGTATCTCCATGTACCACCTATCTCTGTGTACTACGTATCTCCATGTACCGCTTACGTCTGTGTACCACCTATCTCCTTGTGCCACCTATTTCTGTGTACTACGTATCTCCGTGTACCACCTATCCCTTGTACCATCTATCTCCATGTACCACCTATCTCTGTGTACCACGTATCTCCGTGAACCACCTATCCCTTGTACCACCTATCCCTTGTACCACCTATCTCCGTGTACCACCTATCCCTTGTACCATCTATCTCCATGTTTCGCCTATCTCTGTGTACCATGTATCTCCTTGTACCACCTATCTCCTTGTGCCACCTATCCCTTGTACCATCTATCTTCATGTACCACCTATCTCTGTGTACTACGTATCTCCATGTACCGCTTACGTCTGTGTACCACCTATCTCCTTGTGCCACCTATTTCTGTGTACTACGTATCTCCGTGTACCACCTATCCCTTGTACCATCTATCTCCATGTACCGCCTATCTCTGTGTACCACGTATCTCCGTGTACAACCTATCCCTTGTACCACCTATCCCTTGTACCACCTATCTCCGTGTACCACCTATCCCTTGTACCATCTATCTCCATGTTTCGCCTATCTCTGTGTACCATGTATCTCCTTGTACCACCTATCTCCTTGTGCCACCTATCCCTTGTACCATCTATCTTCATGTACCACCTATCTCTGTGTACTACGTATCTCCATGTACCACTTACGTCTGTGTACCACCTATCTCCTTGTGCCACCTATTTCTGTGTACTACGTATCTCCGTGTACCACCTATCCCTTGTACCAGCTATCTTCATGTACCACCTATCCCTTGTACCATCTATATCTGTGTACCACCTATCCCCTTGTACCATCTATCTCAATGTACCGCCTATCTCTGTGTACCATGTATCTCTGTGTACCACCAATCCCTTGTACCACCTATCTACGTGTACCAACTATCTCCAACTACCACCTGTCAGATGTACCCTCCATCGTCATCCTCACCACAAAGCAGTCATCACACAAAATGTATTCTCCTGTATCCATATGCCTATTGCCCAAGGTACAGTGCACTATATCCACCTTTTACAAACTTAAACTGATAATTGACTAACACTGAATAACCTGACACTATGTCATGTCGTAGATAAATGTGACTACCTCTCAAAGTGCTCTTTTTAACTGACCTTTTAACTTGACACCATTCATACCAGATATTGCTGCCTCAGCATCCTTGATATTGGTGAACTGAACGAACCCGAACCCAGTCTTCTTGCCATCTGAAACATTTAATATCACGTGTACACATTGAGAAATAAACCTTCAATCAATCAGCTATCAAAACTAGTTACTGTCAGTGATTATCACATCTACAATAATATGCACATACCACACATGAGGTGAGGTGAAATGTGTTTTTTTACGTCACGTCAAGATTAATGTGCTTATATAGCGATGTGCGTTTGTGCGTGCTTGTACTAGTCTGGACTCATGTCGTTATTATAGTGCTAGCCTACTGAGATACCATGCCGCAGTTTCCACTAGACCAAGGAGGCAATCCATACCACACATAAAAATCACTTGATGAGATGTGTTTCAACAAGAGAAGCAAATTCTCCATGTACATCAGCATTAAAATGTCGAAGCTGGAAAAAGCACTCCTAGCTATCAGGCACCAGCATTACCGTATCACCCCCAACACATTTTGTTTATAGTAGATATAAATTGTATTTGTTTGTTTATGTGTCATTTAACATCGTACTCAGTAATATTCCAGATATATGACAGCGGTTTGTAAGTCATCAAGTCTGGACCAGACAATCCAGTGAAGATATTCTGAACAGTCGGGGTACAATATCGCACCATCAACCATGTCACTGACTGAGTGAGTGAGTTGGGTTTAACGCCGCTTTTAACAGTATTCCAGTTATATCACGGCGTGTCAGCTTAATGTGGGAGGAAAGCCCGAAGTGATGCAGGTCTTAGATGTTTACCACTTCAGCGAAACCCACAAGCATGGGTATGGTGCTGACCAACCTAGAAACATAATCGGGGCGAACTGGGATTCAAACCCACAATCACAGGTTTCAGGCGTGTCCAAGGGACGCAACTCTGCACAGCGAATTGCGTCGCCTTAGACGACTGGGCCACCGTGCTCCCCACTGACTGACTGAGTGTGACCACCTGACCCATTTGGTACCCCACACAACCAGCATAGGTGGCTGGGGACCAACTCTAAAACAGAATCGTAGAATGACAACTAGTTGGTTCCAGCTTCTTAATCACTGGTAATATTTAACTATTTTTACGAACATGAGAGGACATTTGACTAACCTGGTTTAGTGGGAATGGTAACGTCAGTCAGTTCCCCGAAGCCCTCAAAGTGAGAGCGCAGTTCTTCATCTCCTAACTGGGAACAACACATTGCAGACATCATATGCACATGTTCACAAGATCTTACAGGACAGGCTTCACAAGGAATGACAGATTAGAGAAAGTGACATGAATAAACAAACTTTTTATCAATGAGTAAGCAAAACACAAGACACAGACCCCAAATTGAGGCAGTTATGAATATCCTGGACAATAAGGGGCTAAAATTAGTAATTTTCAAAACAAATTAGTAATCACCACACACAAGGCTGACTGAATGGGAGGTAACTCTGTATACAACAATGAATCACACTGGAAAAGATTCTCAATGAAACTGGGTTCTCAAGGCTAGATTTTTCAAACTCCTTCCCTTGTCACACCACCAGTGTCCAGACAATTAAATTTGTAAGATGAAGGAAGCAACACTTGATGTACAGCGTTAAATAGTAAATGGAGCAAATGATGAGTTTCTAGATATGCCAACAACCAGTCTGTAATACCATGATTACCAGTCTTTTTGGGTTGGTTTGGTTGGTTGGTTGGTTTGTTGCAGCACTCAGCTATATTCCAGCTATATGACAGCGGTCTGTAAATAATCGAGTCTGGACCAGACAATCCAGTGATTAATATCATGAGCATCGATCCACGCAATTGGGATACAATGACATGCATCAACCAAGTCAGCGAGTCTGACCACCCGATCCAGTTAGTTGCCTTTTACGACAAGCATGGGTTGCTGAAGACCTATTCTACCCCGGATTGCATGTGAAAATGAGAGGAAAAGTTTTCATGGTAACCACAAACTAACCTGAAAGGAGAGGTTTCGGATTATGAGTCGACATTTCTTCAGCATCTTCTGGGGCATCTCAGCAAACTCTTTAGACAGATGTACTGCGGAGAGTTGACAGCCTGCAACATGGCACCAGGAATACACATCAAAAACAGTGACATGACAATCTAATTGTTTCACACTTTTATCTCATCCGTTTTCTGATATGAGGGGTTGCTGAGTATTTGAAGCTCAGCAACAATTTGCCAACAGCAGCCAACAAATTTGAAACAAAATGATATTCATCAAGTAAATTATACCAAAGCTGTGAAGAATCCAGATGATTTCCAGGTTTTGAATCCAATTTTTAAACTTTCTCAATTATTTTCAAATCATACATATCAACAAGACTCTATCTTGTTGAAAATAAAATACCGGGATTCCTTCCCTGTCCCACAAAAAAATACAAGCATATACTTACCTTTAATAGTTTTCTCATGCACTTTCCTGATGGCCAGTTTTGCGTCTCGGACACACTTGAACTTGAGGAAAGCTGTTGGGACATTCCTGTCTTCTACTGGGTAGACAATCTTGTTTACTTTCTTCACATGACTGAACAGAACAAGAGTGAGTGAGTGAGTGAGTATGGTTTTACGCCGCTTTTAGCAATATTCCAGCAATATCACGGCGGGAGACACCAGAAATGGGCTTCACACATTGTACCCATGTCGGAAATCGAACCCGGGTCTTCGGCGTGAAGAGCGAACGCTTTAACCACTAGGCTACCCGACCGCCCTGAACAGAACAAGAAGGTTTACAGTCTACACGGTCAACGTACAAACATTTCCACTGTAAATCATCAGAGTTTCACTCGTTCTGATCAGCATTACCAACCCCTGGTAGTTGGTACACAACTTGTTTGTTTGTTTGTTGTTTAATGACGCACTCAGCAATATTCCAGCTATATGACAGCGGTCTGTAAATAATCAAGTCTGGAACAGATAATCCAGTAATTAACATCATGAGCATTGATCCACGAAATTGGGATACAATGACATGCATCAACCCAGTCAGCGAGCCCGACCACCCATTCCCGTTACTCGTCTCTTACGACAAGCACAGTCACCTTTAATGGCAAGCATGGGTTGCAGAAGACTAAGGAAGATGAGAGACATCATGGACTCAATTTTTTTTGCAGACAGATTGAATATTTTTAGGATATGAACTTGACAAATAAACACATAAATCTCATTCAATTCAGCAGTATAACTCTGACATAACACCTCTCAGCATGAAGATCTGATGAACCCTCCATAGAAGGTCGTGCCAGGGGAAACTCTGAGCAAACTTGACCACCCAATCAAAATGAAGGATGCTTGTTCTTGATCCAATAATAGGTCAGCTTTCTAAATTGATTCAGCTCAAGTTCTTTACCTCAAGTCAGAAAATTTGATGTCACAAAAAAATCACAGAAGACAAAATATTCCTTCACTGGTACTCCCTTTCGTGTGGAGATGCCATGGCGCTCAGAAACAACGGGGTGCATAACATATCCACAACATAATGGTGTGGCCTTTTTTATTTACACCCAGAACTGGCTGTTTGTACCAACAACATAAACAACTTCGAAGCTGCTATGGAATAGCTCTCAGATCTTCAAGCAGAGGTACCGTGCTTGAAAAACAGATCTGATTTTAAAATGAAACAAGAATTAGCAGCAAATCATTAAACATCTGCCAATGTGAAGGGCAATCAGCCTGTGATTAACATCACAGCAACATAACTAACCTGACTAAATCTGTCACGCCACCAAGGTCAAGGTCGGTGCCAAAACCTGTGAGCACCACAATTTTAGCCTTCAAGTACTTCGAGTTCTGGTTAGGACCAGATTCAGTATCCCCCTTTTCAACAGTTCTTCCAACTTGAACACACAAACAAGAGCGAATTAAAACATGTGACTATGGTAACAGTGACGCATTTAATGAAACAAATGTTTACTATCATATTTTGATCACTTTATGCTTAAAGGATCACTCATCTAAATTTTACCATCATATCTTCGGAAAAGATCACCTGAAATTAGGTGAACATAATGATGCAGGTTGTAATATACACATTTACCCATCTTCCTGAGGCAAGGGAGTTAACTGACTATAAAATCCAGTTTCCACCCTTGCCGAAGTAGGTTGGAGTTTCTTGGTTCAATCGTAGAGCCACCAGTGGCTATTATGAGCTATGTCCCATCTATCATGTCTATTTCCCTCCAATTTTCCAATCAGATTCAACCTGTCACTTGCATCTGCTTCAAACAAAATTTGGGAAATATCTTTTGGGGCCAATTTGACGGCACACATGCTTTGCAAATCCTGCAATTGACCGAAATCTGCACGGCAGTTTACGTACCGGATGTCAATTTCATTAAGCAATTTTGACTGGACTATGTATAGACTTGATAGTCCAGCCAAAATATAACTCCATAATTGCAGCCTAGTTCAGCAAGGGTGGAAACTGGACTTTTATCGTCAGTTAAAACTCTTGACTCAGGAAGATGACATTTACCCTAATTGTAAAACCAACAAGCATGGGGGTTGTGCTGACAAACCAAGGATCAAAGTCTAGATCTGGCATCCAAACCCACCTGTGTCCCCTTGTATAAGAGGAATAGTGGAGTAGAACATGTTTGACTGAAGGATACGAACTACTCACCTTGTTGTGTTTCTTTAGCCTCCTCCTGCTCCCTCTCTTCATCACTCTCGCTATCATCTTCTTTCTTGGAGAACTTCCTTGGTGGTTTCTTCCGTTTATGATCAGCAAAGCTCACCGTTAACTTCCTTCCATCTAACTGAGTTATTGTGTCTTTGGCTTTAATGGCATCCTCACTGGGAGCAAGTAAATGCATTTGATCATTAATCAGTTTAATCATGTGAATCAAAACATTCCACAAGTGCATTGCGGGGCCAAACTAACAAATACACATAGCTGAAGGTCAGTGTCACTGGCTATTGTGAGTTAAAAGTTGCAAGCTTATTTCCTCCACTAATGTCAGCAGACTGCAGCAACTGCAAGCCATGAAATACTGTGCTTCAGCAACCCTTGCCTACCGTAAATGCCGACTATGCTTGTCGTAAGAGGCGACTAATGGGATCGGGTGGTCAGGCTCACTGACTTGGTTGATGCATGTCATTGTATCCCAATTGCGTGGATCGATGCTCAGGTTTTCAATCACTGGATTGTCTGGTCCAGACTTGATTATTTACAGACCGCCGTCATACAGCTGGAATATTGCTGAGTACGGCGTTAAACAATAAACAAACAAACTATAACAGAGAATTAGATCCAACTTACATGAGAGAAAACTTGACATAACCAAACCCACGGCAGAGGTCAGAATCTGAAAGCAGATAAAGATCATGAAGAGAGATTTTCTGATAGGTAAATACATCACCTCGGGAAGGAAAATCCTATTCATATATTTAGAGCAATTTTTTAGATGGATGCATATACATGTAACATGATGTAAAAAGACAAGAATCACCTTCTCTTAACTTTAGCAAAGTGTGTGAAACAGAATGAAATATGGAATAATTGGCATAGTCACATATAAAATATACATGTGCCATACTTGTCAAATATCATGATAGATCTAGGCACCTTGTGATCTTAGTACCATAAAACACATCGATACCTAGCTTTAGAACTGCAGACAATATTCTTGTAATTGTCCCATGTAACCGTTCGGCCTCACGGGATAGCCTACATGGGTCAATAAAGAAAATGTGTCCAGCTACGTATTCCTGTGCATAAAATGAACATTACCGATAGAGTGTGTTACAGGTCTTCTCCAACAGGCGTGTTGGCCACGTGTTTACAATATCATCAGGTAAAAATGTAAACAAACGAAGATAACAGTCGAAGGCATCACGATGACATTACCTTTTTTCTTAACAACAAAACATTGTTTAATTGGGCCAATATCTTCAAACAATGTCGTCAGCTTTTCATTTGTAGTTACAAATGGCAGGTTTCTCACGAAGAGTGTTTTGCTCTTGTAGTTTTCTGCTTCCATGCTGTATTTGCTGCGGAGTCAGCATTTGTAGTCCCGAAGTTGGTTTCCGTTTACAAGACAACTTTATTATTAATTCGTTTTACAGACTGAAATACTTTAAATTGGTGTGTTCAATTAGAAATATGCATGAGAAGACATATCCTCGAATAATTATTTTTCTCATGTCCTTCATTCAACAAAGCAATAGGGAAGCGCTCATAAAATCCACACTGCCGCAGGGTGAAATACCAGTGACTCATTTACTTTTCATACATGTCTTCGTGTTTGGTTCAGTGTAAGTATTGTAACAATGTTCCAACAGAACAATGAAAATTTGGAACATGTAGCCATGCGTAATCTGCTTTGTATGGCAAAGTTATGTAGACTTTTTTGAGAAGTGAAACAATGATCGACAAGGTGAAATGGGGTTTAATGTCGCGTTCCAGGTTATTGCACGTACATTAACACTTGCATGTCAATGTGTGCGCGTGTGTGCGGCTGCTTGTACTCGTCAGGACTAATGCTGCTTTTTAGTGCTAGTCCCCTGAGATGTCATTCCTCAGTTTAACATGGATACTCTGACACAGTATACTGACTCCGAGCAGACCAGTCCTTGTTTTAGCCCCTTACTGCAGTGCGCTAGGCAGGGTAACAACAAGTACCATATCGTTTAACATCTGTTGGTTCGCGGACGGAACCACCAGGCAAGCCAGAGCTCCAGATAAGCTGCGTATCTGCGTAAAAAACGCATCAGAAATGCAGAAATACGCAGTAAGATAATATCCAAGCGTATCAAATACGCAACGAACATTACAGATACGCTACTTGTGCGTATATTCAAAATATTGTGAAGTAACCCTGCGTATTCGATTGGCAAATCAGCAACTTATTTTGAAATTAAAAACGGGCATTCCGTCAACCTTGCCAAACTCCACGATGACAGTTACATCATGATCATTTTCCATCACACTTTCTTGTGGAAGTATCGTAGTATTTTTGAGTCCTATAAAGCTCTCGAACCCACACATCACCAGTTTGCAGGGACTAGATGAATAGTGTTTTTAAATATTTAACTTAAATACCCACATGTGTAAAAACTAGTGGGTAACAGAAATTTGAATACCCAGATAGAATAGCTGATACGCAGTGATTTTAAAATGCATGGGTAAAATACCCACAACACCAAAAGCTTATCTGGAGCTCTGCAAGTGTCTGTCCACTAAACTCATCTAACTCTACGGCACTATGGAGACGGTCCTAAAGTAATCATAAGTATTTTTTGTGTACGTAGAAATAGAGAACTAGAAAAATAATTTTTTTCTTAGGATCACCACTTTAAAAGGTAATATGTCAAAGTGTGTTCGTCTGTGGAAATAGCCAAAGACAACATTGCGTGAAGACATGTTTAATGAACAAAAGTCCGTTGTCATGTGTCACTTAATGCCAACAAACAACATGTGACCAATAATCAGTCAGATCGCCTGTCAAAATGAGAGTATCTGACAAAAACTGAAACGTAAAAAAAAATCACGAAAACAAATAGAATAGCTTGTGGACAATGGTGAAGTATCCAGGTGCGCTACGGTGCCGCTATTGCACACTTACTTAGGGTTTACTCAACAGTTCAGGTGAACTACAGCAATAAGAAACAAGTTTAGGTTTACGTTTCAACATTTATTTCTCACTCTGGCATACAGATTAATCAAAACTACCGTAAAAGGCAACTATGCTTGTCATAAGAGGCACATAAGGCTAAAAAAAAAAAAAATCTTGGTTCTGAGGCACCGCCGGCATAGTCACAAATTCCACCGCACGTTTCTTTTTATTTCCATTTTAAAAAAACCCCCAAAATCCTTAAATATTCCAACTCCCACAGTAGTCAAATACTGTATTCCTAGGTTGATTGTACACAAATTTTTAGTTGGTTAGGCAACTGTTTATTTGGTTACATACTAGTTTGAACAACCAAAATAAAAAAAGAAGACACCGCCCGCCCGCACTATATTTTCAAAAACCATGCCTGAGAACCAATTCTTTTATTTTATTACGCCTAATGGGATCAGGTGGTCAGGCTTGCTGACTTGGTTGATGCATGTCATCGCATCCCAAATGCATAGATTGATGCTCATGATGTCAATCACTGGATTGTCTGGTCCAGATTCGATGATTTACTGACCGCCCTTATATAGCTGGAATATTCCTGAGTGCGGCGTTAGACAACAAACAAACAAACATAATTGATTCCATTTTCCTTATTACAGTTTCAACACTCAGCTAAGGTACCATCAACTGTTGGTTAGTTTAGTTGAGAAAATACTCTGTTTGCTTCAATAGTACCTTCAACTAAATCAGATTGAGGAACAGACTGGAATGTTACATAAAACTAAATGGTCAACTATCCAAAATGCCTGCATTTGAATTTGTCCAGAGTGAGGGAGTGAGTTGGGTTTAACACCGGTTTTAACAGTATTCCCGTTATATCGTGGCATGTCAGCTTAATGTGAGTGGAAAGCCTGAAGTGATGCAGGTCACAGAACATAATTGGGTCTACCCGGGAATTTGTCCAGACCTTGTGTTGAAGCAAGTCGTTACTGACGAGGTCCTGTGGCAATATCATTACAACTGAGTGAGTGAGTATAGTTTTACGCCGCTTTTAGCAATATTCCAGCAATATCATGGCGGGGGGCACCAGAAATGGGCTTCACGCATTGTACCCATGTCGGGAATCGAACCCGGGTCTTCGGCGTGACGAGCGAACGCTTTAACCACGAGGCGACCGGACCGCCCCTTATCACAACTGAACTGAGTAGGTGACAAAGAGTTGTGTCTGTGTCCGGTACGTCTGCTGTCACTTTTACGTTTCTTCTGCAATGTGTTTTTCCTGGCACATGGATAAATTGTTTTAATATCTTACTGGCCAAATTACAATACATAGTCCCGACATTCTTGGCTGTGGCAAGTACCGGACTCACATTACACAGTGAAACAGATGGTTGCTTTGTTGGTTTGTTGTTTAACGCCGCACTCCGCAATATTCCAGCTATATGACGGCGGTCTGTAAATAATTGAGTCTAGATCAGACAATCCAGTGATTGATATCATGAGCATCGATCCAAGCAATTGGGATCAATGACATGCATCAGCCAAGTCAGCGAGTCTGACCACCCGATCCCGTTAGTCGCCTCTTACGACAAGCAAAGTTGCCGTTTACGGCAAGCATGGGTTGCTGAAGACCTATTCTACCCCGGATCTTCACTGGTCAGTGAAACAGTAAGGTAATTGAAGCTAAGACGCTGCTGACAATCAGGCTCTTAAAGTAGTACAGTAGTCCTGTTGGCATTCATCCCAAATTCTACCATGTCTACACAAGCAAAACACAAAACAACAAAATTTGCACTGTTTATTCTCAAATTATCACTTACAATATACATTCACATTCACTCATTATTCTCACACAGAGCAACATTCAATTTGCTAAAATTGAACAAGACACATTGTCTTCATATTTCTTTTTAAAACTAATTCTAAATCAAGACTTCATATGTTTAACATACAAATGTCTTCTGTGAAACAACACAAGGAATAGGCTATTCCCAATCTGAAACTGAAAAACTGGAATGTGTACAATGGCAATAAAAACAGAATGCTGTGTATGCTAATTGGTGGTGTTGCAGGTAGACGTTGATACATAGAACGCTAGTGTTCAAAATTAAGGGGGGTCAGGGGGATCCTTTGGGTTTGCTTCTGTATTATTTGCCAACTGTAAATCATCCTTAACTGGTGTTGCTAGTACTGGTGATTCTACCACCAAGGGCAGTGTCTCTGTGGGTGATTGGATCACAACCATACGTTACAGGCATGTCTCCATTAGTGAGTAGGAAGTACACACATGTTGGCTTCACACGTGAAAATCTAAAGCCAAGAGTCCGTGAGTTGGGATTAACACAACTTTGAAGAGTTTTATGAAAATCAGCATAATGTGGGAGGAAAATATAGATCAACTTTGGAAAACTGAACCTATGATAATAGGATGCCCGTATGAGATGCAGCTTGGGACTGAACTTGAGTAAGTATGGTTTTACGCCGCTTTAAGCAATATTCCAGCTTATTACAACTAGGGGCTCCAGAAAAGGGCTTCACACATTGTAGTCATGTGGGCAATCAAACCCGGGTCTTTGCATGAGGAGTCACTGCTTAAACCACGAGGCTACCCAGCCACCCCAAATTAGAAGCCTTTGACATATTAGCAGTCTGGCTTTCTGTGCCCCAAAGTGAAGAAGGGGATGACAAGAGAGTGACGACTCCATGTAGGAATGCCATTTCAGTCGCACTGCTGGTACCTTGGGGCCAGAGTCAGTATTGACAAGAGAGTGACAACTCCATGTAGGAACGCCATTTCAGTCGCACTGCTGGTACCTTGGGGCCAGAGTCAGTATTGACAAGAGAGTGATGACTCCATGTAGAAATGCCATTTCAGTCGAACTGCTGGTACCTTGGGGCCAGTGTCGGTATTACTTGGGATTTTACAGATGCCTGTCACTCATGTCTATTCAAACAAACAAACAAACAAATATACAGTACAAGAACTGTCAATAAATATAACTATGTACACGTGATGGGGAACAACTCAGCATGTACAACATTGCAATAATACTAATGAAGAGTAACGAGGTGATGATGCATTCACGGACTTAAGACATTCATATTTGTTTATCGTAGACGAGTGTCAACCTAATTTCACTGGTCCTCTGAGTTTGTAGGTCGTCCTGCTTGAACAAGACAAACCTGTTTGCTATTTTTACATTTTCTGTCAGTTTTATTCAGTTCCAATTTGTAGCAAAGTTGAAGGTTTGAAAACTGTCTTAGAATTTAACACTCAAATGCTACTAATCAATTATGACTACCATCATCAGATTATTACTGTTCTTCAGCCGAATTTTGTAGCCTCGGCCTGGGGTACTTGCATGAATTTCAAAGCGGCATTCACGTGGTAATGGGGGTAAAATGGGATAACGTATTCACCACCTGTATTCATCAAGTGTTGAATATCATAATGACATCAGGGCTTCTATACAGCATTTGAAATGAGTGCCGGCCTGAAGGCCCGTGGCAGGTAGATTTTGTGTCGGGCAATAGTTTTGAATTTGTATGGGTCCTTATGGTTTGCAGTAAATTTATGCTGCAGTATATTTTAAATGGGGGCCTAAAGAGTTAAGTCAGGGACTGTTTCTAAAGTCTGTTGGTCCTGATGGCGTCCTGGCAATAGTGTTTATTTCAAACATTGGTTCTACATTCTAAAACCTGTGTTATCACAAGGGCTACCATCTATATGTTATGTGATATTCATCAGCCATACTCTCTTAAATCAGTTATATTACTCAAAAACAATTCAAAGAAGAAAACATTATTGGGCTTCGTAGCCTAGTGAAGAACACTTGAACCACTAGGCTTCTCCTTCACCTTACACTCACCATGCGTACATGACGAGCCGAACAGTTCCATGTATTACCATTACTAGTACCATTCCTTAGGTAGTTAGGAATATGTGACATGGAGGCTGATCTCCGTGACATGGCAGTTTAAACAATGGTCGCAAGGCTCTCATCATGAAAGCTTATCTCCAACAACACTCTCCATCACACACTGACACAAGGGCATCAATGATCATGTCTTCCTGTCAGGAAACAAATCTGAGAGTTAGTGACAGAGTTCTTTATTGCTAGTCTTCACCCGCGGGAATGGCGTCTTCTAGTCGCTTGATGAACTTGAGTCGGATTTCGGTGATGTTATCTCCCTTTAGCTGATCCTGGACAAACCTGACATCTACATCCATCTGGACCTGCACACAACACAGCAAGGGCTTACGATAAAAACTACTCCAAGATGTTAAAGAACAACAGATTAACTATAGTCACTTGAAAAATCCCTGGGTGTTTTTCAACTTCTTTTGTGCAGTATATTTATTATTTATACGACGCAAGGTTATCAAAATCAATATGAAGCAAATGTGATATATGATTTCATGTGCTCTACATCATTGATGACTTAATACATCAGTGTTCAAAGTCAAGGACATCAAATTGCGAGGATCAATGCTCATGATGTCAATCACTGGATTGTCTGGTGCAGACTCGATTATTTACAGACCGTTGTCATATAGCTGGAATATTGCTGAGTGCGACGTTAAACAACAAACAAACAAAACATCAAGGGGTCATGAGGTTTGCTCCGAAAGTATTTCAAGTGAGGGACTCCTCAATCTCGAACATAAGGCTTATGTCAAGCACCCCAATGATCCATATTCTTTGCGACAAGTAGTAGTATTTCCATGATTACAGTGTTAAACCTACCATTTCAAGAGATCCTTTGAGAACCCCACTCAGTAGGTTAGAGTAGTGGAGAGCGTTGTGGCCATCAGGAAGTTCCACAAAGTCTGTCAGGGGATTGTTCTCAATGAGCAGAGAGAATTCATCCCCCGCTGCACTCCAGTTGCTGACGACTGGCTGGATGCCCAGGTACATCTTGAATGCTACCTGGATAACAAGCAGGTACACCTTGAACACTAATTGGATAACAAGCAGGTACACCTTGAACACTAATTGGATAACAAGCAGGTACACCTTGAACACTAATTGGATAACAAGCAGGTACACCTTGAACACTAATTGGATAACACGCAGGTACACCTTGAACACTAATTGGATAACACGCAGGTACACCTTGAACACTAATTGGATAACAAGCAGGTACATCTTGAACACTAATTGGATAAGAAGCAGGTACACCTTGAACACTAATTGGATAACAAGCAGGTACATCTTCAACTCAACTTGGATAAGAAACAGGTACATCTTGAATGCTACTTGGAAAACAAACAGGTACATCTTGAATGCTACCTGAATAACAATAGGTACACCTTACAGGAACTATTATAGAGTCTTATATTTTTTTATTGGTTTATGGATCCTCTGACATGAAAAATCCAAAATTCAGAAATAAAGTCGGAATGGTAATTCTTTTTCATACCATGACAATGAAAATTTCTTTGACCCATTGTCATATTTAACCATTGTCACACTTACCCACATATACATCTTGACAGTTCATTGACACACTTACCCTGGCTACTATGTCTGCTGTTTCGCGGAAATCACTGCATCTTCCAATGTTGGCTCGGGCCAGGAAATCTTCGATGAGTCGAACTCCAATGTTATAACCCCTGAAAGATAAACACGGCATTTAGTCTATAGATAATACTTAAACAGATCACCAATGGTTAATAGGAAAGTGGAACATTCATTTTTAATTTTTTGACAAGGTAGTCAGCTGAGACAAGGACATAGAAGCTGTATGGAAAAGTTTGTTTGTTTGTTGTTTAATGCCGCACTCAGCAAAATTCCAGCTTTGTGACGGCAGTCTGTGAATAATCGAGACTCGACCAGACAATCCAGTGATTGACATTATGAGCATCGATCTACGAAATTGGGATCGATGACATGCATCAACCAAGTCAGTGAGCCTGACCACCCGATCCCTTTAGTCGCCTCTTACAACAAACTCTTCGACAACAATGACGTTAATATGCTGTTGACATTCAGTCACATCAGTGATAGAAACTAACTGTTTTAGTCCACTAGTCCTTGTAATCATGGTGATGATAACATAAAACTAAACCCTTAAAAAAAAGCAAATGTCTACTAGTCCTAAGATACTTTAACTTTCTATTGCTGCACATGTCTAATGATTTAGATTATCTTGTTTCATTGATTTATCATCCAAAACTGGCCTCCACAGGAGATATCACAAGGATGAGATCAAATGATATCTCCTAGGAGACATTGCTACAATGAAATTGCATCACTATGCATTGCAGTCCATCATGACCATGATGACATCACAATCAAATGACGTCACTAATCTCTCTGCCACTGAAGCTGGTTGTCTGTACTTTGTTTACACCCAAGACAGGTTATTACTGTTTACAAACAGAAAAAAGTTGTTTGGATGATTTTGGATGATAAAAGAGTCTCACTCGAGTGGTTTTATTTTATATCAACGCACATTAATAAAAGTCTAAATATTATTTATATATGATACGTTTATTGACTCATGTTGACATATTTGATATAAAAAAATCCACTTGGGTGAGCATGGTGAGATTCTCTATACATTGACCATGTTGACATGACTGGGTGATGTGCAGATATTAAACAACAATCCATGTTGTTGATGCATCTCCAGAAAAAAATTGACTTGCTGACATATTAACTTATTTTCTCTGTATGCCAAACCAAAATTATTATGGTTGTCCTGACAAATTTGTTTTAAGGAGGATGAGCTGTCATTAACTTAATTGTTGACAAAACATGAAATTTGCAAAACATTATAACTGATAGTCAGTATAGGTATGATAGGGTTGGTGTATTACCTTTGGATGAAACTTTGTTAGGATGAACAAACTTTCCAAAAATCCACATTGTCTATGTGATAATGTCACCCCCACAAATAATCAAATCTACCCTACTCACATCTTCTCCAGCTGCTTGTTGACTTCATCATCATTTTCATAATCTTTCATCAGCTGAGCAACAAGAGCTCCATATGTTAGTGTAAATAATTCCCCATTCTGAAAAACAAACACAATTAGATAAGAAATAAATCATGAGAGCATGATAAACAAACATTGATCAGTCCATGAAAATATTTGATCCTTCAATAACATATATTTCAACAGGAGATAAACATACTGTGTCTTCAATGTAGATCTAGGTTACCTGTAGATTTAACTGTACTTGAAACCGAATGCGCAGCGTGAGGTTTCAAATGTTAAATTTAGCGAGGTTAAATCTATAGGTATTCTAGCTCAACATTTTAAACACAGTATGTTTTTCTCCATTCTCCATGACTAAAACGTGAACTCTTTGAGTCTTTGGTGTTAGCATGGAGGCATGGGTTATTAAGTGCCCCCAAACAAAATATGGCGCTGTATATGCTCAAGCAGTTTGTTTACACCGTAATACTTTACTCGAACATATGTCAGACATTGAAAGCATGTGACAACTTCGTAAGCTAATATGAGGTGAGTTCCCCTAAAGAAAACTAAGCAAACCTTTTAAAGTTTTCATTCCACACCACACGTCAACATTATCCTGTCATATGGCTCATTGTGACGCAAAAGATATGACGTCACAGTCACATATAGAAAAATGCCGAATTCCAAGATTTCTGTTGTCCCCAAAACTTAAAATACATTCTCTTTGTAGATTTCTATCATGTTTTCTGCACCAAAAGTATTGCCACACATCCATTGAATATTGTAGTAACTTCAACTTTGCATTTTGTAACCTACAATTGTAGATATAATTACTTAAATATGTCTACCGACCATGATTAAAAAAAAAGTATTATTCTATGAATTAGATTCTGTGGTGATGCGGACGTCAAATCTGCTGTTTTAATCAGTGGGGGTTTATTGTGATTTGACAACCTCTGATTGACCAATCAGAAACAAGTAATTACCAAATTCATGGTAGAATGCTTGCTATCATGGTCATGTATCCGTTTCATAGATTATTTTCCTCTGTGTTGCCTTTTTAAATGTAATTCTTGTTGCAGTTTTCCTAACTGGCAACCTGTAGCCTCAATGAATAATGCACAGCTATTTGTTCTGGGTAACTGTAGGTTTTATTCTTTTGTTTGTGTGTTGTTTAATGCTGCATCTCAGCAATATTCCGGTTATATGATGGCAGTCCTCTAAATAATTGAGTCTGGACCCGAAAACCAGCGATTCACATCATGAGCATTGATCTACACAACAGAATATGATAACATGCATCAAGGAAGTCTGACAACCTGATCCCGTTGGTCACCTACAACAAGCACATGGGTTGCTGAAGACAAATGAACAGGTATTATAGTAATCTATAATCCCTCTAGGTTGTTAGCATGGCTACTTATTGACCAAATCTTCCCATAACAGGGTAATGACTTTCAAATAAGTTTTTGATTCCTAGATGTAAACAGAACTCAAATCATAATACGAAAACTAACGGCTAATCAAATATCAATGTTATTTTAGCCAAAAAAGATATCTTGTGATGGCATTCGCATTACAGTTGTGAGAAGAAATATTTTCTAGCGGACACCGCTGCAGTGGAGCTGCTGTTGACATAGGGTTCTGGGAATCCCTCGTCGTTTATGTAATAACTATCTACCAAACCTGCAAATCTAGTTGACAGGTGTCTTGTCACCACAAAATACTTGCATCCGTACATGTAAACAGAAAATATTGTCATACCACTTTTCTAGGATCACCTCCTCTTGATGCCTGACGTGACATTTCCCAAATATATAACTGAAAACTGTAGCAATCTCTACAAATACGTCTTTTGTATCAAAATGTACAATTCTCCTCCCACAACCGGAAGTAAGGTAATGACCGGAAGTACCACCGAAAGGAAAAAAGACAAGCGTTGTCATTGGATAGAATATTACTTATGGCCAATCGAAAGGTTTGTAACAAATGCATGCAACACCACGTTTGTCAGTGCATGGAGTTGAGGAGTAAATGCAGCGAAGCAAACACGTTAATATTTGACGAGAATGACGGATTGTAAGGAGGAACAGAAAAATGAAATCGAAGCATTAGAAGCAATCTATCCAGAAGAACTTGAAAGTGTGTAAAAGATCGTAATTTATTTTGACGTAAATTGTAGATAGTAGACACCGGTGCTGTTTATCACCCTTTCCAGAGACCATATAATATTATATGGTCTTTGCCCTTTCCAACGACTGGTACCATCACATGCCTTGACAGTCAGTGTTTTCAGTATCCCGTCTTGTGAGTCGGACCATAAGGCATTAACATGACTACACAGTACCAACCCGTAAAGATCCGGCTAAGAATTGGTCTTCAGCAAACCATGCTTGTAAGAGGCGACCAAAGCCAGAACGAGATCGGGTGGTCGGCCTCACTGACTTGGTTGATACATGTCATCGTATCCCAACTGTGTAGATCGATGCTCATGATGTCAATCACTGGATTGTCCAGACTTGAATATGTACAGACCCCCGTCATGTACATGCAGGACTAGTGGTAGCAACTAGCATACTAGTAAGCTGTGGTTGTGTTCATGTATTAATACGACACCATATGCTTTGTTTATTTGTTGTTTAATGCCGCACTCAGCAATATTCCAGTGTTGTGACGGCGTTCTGTAAATAATCGAGACTGGACCAGACAATCCAGTGATTAACATTATGAGCATCATCCACGCAATTGGGATCGATGACATGCCTCAACCGTTCTAGGGTGGTCGGGTAGCCTAGTGGAACCTAAAGGGTTCGCTTGTCACGCCGAAGACCTGAGTTCTATTCCCCACATGGATGACTTGTGAAGCCCATTTCTGGTGTCCCCCGCCTTGATATTGCTGGGAGCAGCATAAAACCATACTCACTCACTCACTGTTTTATGAACATGATAATGAGACTTTCTTCTTGCAGTTGAGAACACAGATCCCTATGTGTTCAGTCTGGCAGTTGCCTCACAAGAAACCAATGACACAGATGAAGGTAATATTAATATAACAATGTCTGTGTAGTTGGTTGACAGCTAGAACTGTTGCAAATATCTGCTCTGTTGTGCAGACAGAATGCAATCAATTATCTATAGTCACCTCACCTGTGTGTGTGAGAGGTAGGGAGAGTGGGGCTGGGGGCGTTGCATATATTAATTCTTATTTCCAAAGGGTTAGTGTTAGCTACAGAGCCTGATGTTGGCGGGTAGTCTTTATTAACGGGGGGCACGGGTAGCCCAGTCGTCTAAGGCGCCGCGGTTCAGAGTTGCGTCCCTTGGGCACGCCAGAAATCTATGATTGTGGGTTTGAATCCTGGTTCACCCCGATTATGTTTCTAGGTTTGTCAGCACCATACCCGTACTCGTGGGTTTCACCGAAGTGGTAAACATCTGAAACCTGCATCACTTCGGGCTTTCCTCCCACATTAAGCTGACACGCCTCGATATAACTGGAATACAGTTAAAAGTGGCGTTAAACCCAACTCACTCACTCACTCACTTTATTAACAGATTTTGTGTAATCTTATTAATTAGGATTATTGTCTCATTGTCTTGATTTACCTCATACAGGATGCTCCCCTGCACTATTTTATCTAGCCTGTATCATCTTGTTGTATAATGGTGGCCTCTTTACTGAATAAAGAACTTTACAATATTTACATATTGTGTATAGGACACAATTCAACGTCTAGTATGACCATGCCAACCAATATTGTACTTTCAGCCTTTGCATGTTCCTGTCGTGTTCAGTTCACATATGTGGAGAAGTATCCTGATGAACCGCCTCTCATGGAGATCACAGATCCAGACAACCTGGATGATGCAGATATAGAAAGCCTCACACAGTATCTCAATGAACAGGTGAGTCTTTGTTTTAAGACTTTGGTATGTCTCTGCAGGTATCCTTGGCTAAATTAATCTCAAAGCTCCCATGCTTTTCCTAAAATGAGGATTGGTTGGTTACAATGTCGGACCATGCTGATTGTGTGGTATCGAACCCTGGCATCATGGGCCATTGCTCACACTATCAACCACTAGTTTGGCTCTATCTGGATTGTTCACAGCCTGCTGTGATGTACCAGCAATATTGCTGACTGTTAGGCCTTGGAATTGTATGCAAATTTGTGATTGGTCATTGATGTTAACGCAAATCTAATGACACCTCGGCTCTCGTCGCCTCGAATTCTCGGCTCGGACACAATTTTTAATGCCAAAATATATGCTTGAAAAATATTTTGTCGTAGCTCTTAACCTAGCACAATACAACCACGAAGCTCCATATTTTTAATATAGATAACGATTTCCTGCTTAAACGTTCAGAATAGCACGATTTAACAAAATTCTCTCGTCAAAATCTGAAATTCATCATACACTAGGACAGTACCATAGATGTAATTTGATTGGCTGCCTTAGGTTACGTGATCACATTTGACGAATCACGAACCTTGTAGCAGATTTCGGCAAGAAAGCGTCATTAGAAACCAATTTGTTATCAATGAAATCATTTGTTATAACTACGAAAATACTTCAGGCAATGTTACGAGCGTGTAGAAGAAGGAATAAGCTTTCTAGCGATGTGTCGTATGCCAGTGTTCAATGAACGTTTTATTCAAACGAAGCCTCGAAAACGGGGGTATTTCTTCATGTTACTGAGTGGACAGCCCCTGTTATCGGGAAATGGGTTATGACAGATACTAAGTATAATTCTTTTTAAAATGCTTTTTTTGATACATGTTCTCAACTTACTACCCTGAACAAGTGTATATATGAAGGGGAAAATAATTGACCTCAGATTTCATGATCTGGAAATGTTCAACCCTGAAACAACCAGCCTGAAGCTATTTCAAATATAATCATGATAATGCAATTCATGACATGAGGTATGTAAGCTTGGTAAAAGGAACTAGTCTTTGCCAAACTGCCCAATAGTTAAGGTATCATAACGACTGGTAGAAATTTGCCATTATTTAAGGTTTTGCTATATGTTATCATTATAAGGACTAGTGGACTTAAACAGTTAGTTTCTATTGCTGAACCATATCTGATTACTGATATGTAGAATGATAAATCTGTTTTTTACACATTCAAAAATGATCCATCGTCTTGTCCAGGAGGGAGGTGTGATGTGAGTAGTAGGACACCTTGGTTCATTGTTCTATGGGGGCTGTCGGGTAGCCTAGTGGTTAAAACGTTCGCTCGTCACGCCGAAGACCCGGGTTCGATTCCCGACATGGGTACAATGTGTGAAGCCCATTTCTGGTGTTATATTGCTGGAATATTGCTAAAAACCAACTCACTCACTCATTTGTTCTATGTGTTTTCCAGGCTGAGGAGAATATTGGGATGGCAATGGTGTTTACGCTGGTGTCAGCACTGCAGGAGCGACTCACAACGAATGTGGAGGACGCCCAGCGCAAAGTTGTCGAGGATAAAGAGAGACAGCAGAGAGAATTAGAAGAAATAGAGCAGGTAATTCTGGCAGGGGAACATTGAGTCACCTATTGCCACATGGATGTACCTCACAAGTTACAATCTTAAAAGAGAATGAGCCTGCTCCCTACATCTTCCCGAGGCAAGAGAGTTAACTGACTTCAAAAGTCCAGTTTCCCCCCTTGCCGAATTAGGCTGGAATTCCTGGGCTCGATCGTAGCGCCACCAGTGGCTATTACAAGTTATGTCCTTTCTATGCCTCTCCTATTGACCAATCAGATTCAACCTCTCGTATCACTTGCATTTGCTTCAAACGAAACGGTGGCGCCCATTCAAGACGATATGACCGATAATCAAGATCTATATTGTGAAATAACAAGTCTTACATCGCGAAGTGCAGCAAATCACGTGAGCACCTTGATCAAAAACATGAAAAGATTTAGAAAATATCTGTTGACAACGAGTTAGAGGTGCACATGCTTTGCAAATCCTGCAGTTAACCGAAATCTGGATGACACTTTACAAACTGGATTTCGATTTCGGTGCGAGATTTTGATTGGACTATGCATAGACTCGTTAGTCCAGGCAAAATGTAACTCCATAATCCCAGCCTAGTTCGGCAAGGGTGGAAACTGGACTTTTATAGTCAGTTAACTCACTTGCCTCGGGAAGATGGCTCCCTATTGTGATTCCAGCTCTGATTAAGTCCCTTTTCTTTCCTTGTACCTGATGCTTGTCCTTCCTTGTACCTGATGCTTGTCCTTCCTTGTACCTGATGCTTGTCCTTCCTTGTACCTGATGCTTGTCCTTCCTAGTACCTGATGCTTGTCCTTCCTTGTACCTGATGCTTGTCCTTCCTAGTACCTGATGCTTGTCCTTCCTAGTACCTGATGCTTGTCCTTCCTTGTACCTGATGCTTGTCCTTCCTTGTACCTGATGCTTGTCCTTCCTTGTACCTGATGCTTGTCCTTCCTAGTACCTGATGCTTGTCCTTCCTTGTACCTGATGCTTGTCCTTCCTTGTACCTGATGCTTGTCCTTCCTTGTACCTGATACTTGTCCTTTCTTGTACCTGATGTTGGTACTTCCTTGTACCTGATGCTTGTCCTTCCTTGTACCTGATGCTTGTCCTTCCTTGTACCTGATGCTTGTCCTTCCTTGTACCTGATGCTTGTCCTTCCTTGTACCTGATGCTTGTCCTTCCTTGAGATTAATCCTTGCATGAAACTTTGAGCCTCAGATCTTTTACTCTGATGTGATACGTCTCTGCCATTTGGCGTTAAGGCTTCTAAATTCTCAGAACAGGTGCGCAAAACATTCAGAGAAGCATAGCTAATTTCTTCATCTTGAAAATGAACTGAAACAACTAGTTCTGAATGTAGATGAATAAGGCCACACCAATATATTGAAGGTATATTTGTGTTCTGTGTGGGTTTTCTTTTGTACAAATTAAAATTTCCCAATCAAGATTTTAAAGAAATGAAGCCAAATTATTTTAGAAAGCTGACATCTGATTGGCTCAAAGACTCATGCACCCTTCGCTTTTGATGGTCAAAGTTTACTTAACTTCATGCAAAGAGGTATCGTATCAGAGGAAAGGATCTGATTATAATATAATTGTTTGAGCCTAAGGCTGGTTTGTAAATGAGAGAGGAGTTATCTCCCTTTGACCACGTTTCAGAGATCGGGTGGTCAGGCTCGCTGACTCGGTTGATGCATTATAAATCCCTGGAACCTATAAATATTAGATGTACCAAAATTCCATCTGATACATCTATATTTTTGACACAGAAATAATCAGTAACAACAATCATAGGGAAAAAAGAATAATTATCTGTTTGTTTTAACAGTTTAACTTGGACATAGGTGGCCCAGTCGTCTAAGGCACTGTAATTCACTGTGCAGAGTTGCGTCCCTTGGGCGCATCAGAAACAGGATCATGGGTTAAAATCCTGCTTCACCATGATTATGTTTCTAGGTTTGTCGGTACCATATCCGTGCTCGTAGGTTTCACCGGAGGCACGGGTGGCCCAGTCGTCTAAGGTGCCGCGATTCGCTGTGCAGAGTTGCATCCCTTGGGCACGCCAGAAATCTATGATTGTGGGTTCGAATCACGGTTCGCCCCAATTATGTTTCTAGGTTTGTCAGCACCATACCCGTGCTCTAGAGTTTCACTGAAGTGGTAAACGTCTGAGACCTGCATCACTTCGGGCTTTCCTCCCACATTAAGCTGACAAGCCGTGATATAACTAGAATACTGTTAAAAGCGGCGTTAAACCCAACTCACTCACTCACTCACGTAGGTTTCCTCCCACATTAAGCTGACACTCTGTGATATGATTTGAATACTTTTCAAGCAGCTGCTAAACCTAACTCACTCATTTTAACAATTTGCCTTGTGTTTCAGAAACGCTTTGAAGGAACACGTGTTACAGTAGAAACATTTATGTCATGGAAGCAGAAGTTTGATGCTGAAATGGCGGAACTGAAGAAAAATAAAGCAGAAATTGAAGTGACAAGCAAGAAATTAACTGGTAGGTTGTGACTGAGAGCCAGGGAGCTATCTTTCTCTCTGAATATTCTACAATGTGCCTAAGTATACACTAGGTGCTCCTCCAGTGTTCACAAAGAAATGTAAAACACAGGAAAGTGGTTATAGTCAGTACTTCATGGTGTCTGTACACATGTGTTCGTCAATTACCTTGGTGTACCGGTAGTTGCTTTTTGAATCACACAACGTCCTGGCTCCAGGATGAGGGAAGCCAGTTTACATTGTACAAACAGCAATATTTCTCCTGCAGCATCAGGGTTCGTACAGGCTTGGAATAGTCTTGAACTTTAACGTTTCTCTTGGAAAGACTTGATTTTAAGTGTCAACCTTGAAAAGCCTTAAAGATCACCAAAATAGCTTGAAAAGCCTTGAATTTGACATATACTTGTTAATCATAGTGTTAAAACACACAAAAGAAAGTACCAAAGATGTTCAAGTGAGATTTACCACAATGATCGATTTGCGTGCCAAAGACCCTGAAGAAGTCATGACAGACTTTATTTATCATTTTGTTGGGTGAAAAATATGGAAAATATGTGATGTTCATACTGCTTTTTAGGTCTAACGACTGATATGTAGTATGCTGGATTAAATATACCGTATTCGTCGTAATAAGCGCCCCGCTCTAATAAGCGCCCGAGGCGATATTTGCTATTATATTGGCTAGTGAACAATCCCAATTAGCACCATTTCCAATTGATCAATGTACACAAGACTTATTTATTCGTGTATAATATGCACTCATGTGTTATATGCACCCTTAATTATGGGCAATTAAATTCTCGAAAATTTATCTATCGTGTATAATACACACAGATTCTTCTTTTATATCATTTCAGGTTGTCAGCATAAACCACAAAATTTACAACCTTTCAACTTTGTTTTTTTTCTCACCAAAATTATATTCTAATAAGAGCCCCCTATTTCTAATTTTTGGAGCGCCCTGGGCGCTTATTACGTCGAATACGGTAATATTGACAGACTAAGCCTAACAACTCAGCTAAGAAAGCCTGGAATATGACAGTTTACAGCCTTGAACTTTATTATTCCCTATATGTATGAACCTTAAGCATGTGCCATAGCCTTACAAACATCTACGATACACACTGCTTATCATAGAGTTCATAGGCCACGTTTTGACATAGATCCTTACACCTTTATCAAGCGACTTCTAAGTAATGCCTATCAAACAATACAGTAAACTACAGTTACGGTGTATAAGGGACTCAAAGGGAACACTTATTTTAGTTCGTTATAACCATAATTTATTATAAGTTTATATACAGCTTATCAGGGGTAGAAGATAACATATTTACTCCACTAGCCCAAACCCTTAAAAATTGCAAATTTCTACTAGTCCCAATGATACCTTAACTATTGGGCAGTTTTGCAAGGACTGCAGGACTAGTGCCAATTTCTAACGCTGCATATTTGCAGCAAATGTCCGGGACTAAAAAAAGGTTTGTTATATCCATCAGTTTGTTATAAGCGTGTTTGTTATAAACATAGTTTGTTGTACGTCACATTGTATTTACATTGCAAACAAGTTGAGAGAAAGGTATCTAATTAATTGATAATGTGTGACTAATGTCAGCTTCTGTAACACCGTCTTAGGAACATAGCTATTCTGTGCTGGTTAGACCCTGATCCTCTGCCTGTGGAGATTCCAGGTCAGGTCCCCAGGACCTCCTGCCTGTTGTTGGAACCGACTGTGATGGGGATCAGGTTGTTGGATGCTGTGACTTGGCTGTGTTGATCGATGGTCATGCTTTCAGTCTCGGGCGTGGGTGGCCCAGTTGTCTAAGGAGCTGCAATTCGCTGTGCAGAGTTGCATCCCTTGGGCTTGCCATAAACCTATGATTGTGGGTTCGAATCCTGGTTCGCCCTGGTAATGTTTGTGGGTGTTTCAGCATCATAGCCGTGTTGGTGGGCTTCAACAAAGTCAAGTCCACATCAAGCAAAAACGCTGTGATATAACTGGAATACTGTTTAATACAGTTTTAAGACACTCCTTCACTCACTCACTCATCAAGCCAAAACGCTGTGATATAACTGGAATACTGTTAAACGCAGTATTAAGACACTCACTCACTCACTCATTCACTCACTCACTCGATTGCTATGATGTAGCTTTGCTCGTCTTCACCGAGAAACAACATTTGCTCACTGAATGATCCACTGAACATTAGCAGAGAGTTGCCCCCAACACTGATCCTCCAACCCTGATTGTTTAGTTATGTTTGTGACTATCGTTCCCATGTTGCAGGCTATGAACTGTTTATGAGGGATTCCTCCATGAATGACTCCGATGTCCAGTTTCTGCAGTCAGGTAGGTCCACTGTGACACACATTATGTATTCCCTCGTTTCACCTACATGAAACATGCACCAGTGCAACCTAATATTTAAAAGTGCAACCTCATATTTAAGTCGACAAAAAAAATCTAATTTGCCACTAAGCCTTACTCTTCCAGGAAACGATATGTGAACACACTCAATACATCTAAGCTTTGTGTACCGTACTACATTACTAGTCACTGCGGTTGGTCAGGCTCGCTGTCTCGGTTGAAGTGTGTCATTGTATCTTAGTTGCATGGATCGATGCTCATGATATCAATCACTGGATTGTCTGGTCCAGACTTGATTATTGACAGACCACCTTCATATAGCTGGAATATTGCTGAGTGCGACGTTAAAAAACAAACAAACAAACAAAACTAATCACTGTTGTGTAATTTGTCATGTTTTCTTTGGCGTGATATCATCAAACAGTGGATAAGATCATGTGCACAAGTTCCTATTACATTTTGCAGAAATAATGTTGTTAATTTAAGGGAAATCATGACAGTGTCATCAGAGATCTGAGAATGGACTTATTCATGCATCTATTATTCAACTTTCATAAATTTATGGGACCTGGGTGCAACTTGATCTTGTCTTGAGCAACTAGGTTTTCATGTCAACATGCACCTGGTGCAAGTTATATCAAATCTTAAATTGAGCCCTGCCTTTGACAATGAACCACATTGGTCCCCAGAACTGCATGCTTGTCATAAGAGCAGACATAACTGAGGATTGGAGGGTAACAATGTATGACCTTGTCATCATACTCGAGTGGAGTGGGTCATAGCGCATGTTATTGACCTCTTGTTTGGCTGGTCAAGGAAAGAGTTTCTTTCAGGCTGCCATGACATAACTGGATTATTTCTGACATTGGAAACACATTCACTCATTTCATTCTCGATCAATCGCATTAAAACCAGATCATACTTCTCGCTACCGCAAAACAAAGATCTGAGGACATCCCATTACGGGTTACGTCAGACCGACCTTGCGCGAACTTTGACCAACCAATGGAATGACCAATCAGAAGGCAGCTTTCTCGTGCTTTACGGCACAAATTTCAAATTGGCGACTTCGCTTTGAAACATATTTTGACAAATTCTCGATTACAAATTTGAAACCTGAACAAAAAAACATTCTGGAATGGCTCATAGATGGTCTAGATTGTAAGGATTCAGTCGTTAAACCCGTAACTATCGTTAATACCCCATGTTTTCGAGATTGAATGATTAGAAATCACATTCCGACTGTCACTTTCATAATCTGGTAAGCGATGCACAGATTGGTCGGATGAAAGGCCGTTCTGACGTGACCCCTAATGGGATGTCTTCAGATCTTTGTTTAGCGGTAGCAAGAACTAAGGTCTGATTTTAATGAGATTGATTCATGATGAAACAGATTGAGGCAGGCAGTTAGGATAGGGTAGAGTAAGCATTTTAAGTTTAGGTACTGCTTTGTAACTGGGAATGGAACTTGTGTCAGTTATCTCTGCTTTCCCTGATGTTGCAGTATCAAATAAAACAGACCTTTAAGTTTATTTTATGGATATTGAATGAAACTAGTGTTCCATTCAGTTCATGTTTTTTGGTTTGACATGAAGGTGTTATATTCATGTGTGTTGCATTGGGGACTGCCTCCTTCGTCTAGAGGATAAAGCATCTGCCCTGAGAGTGGAAGGTCGCTGGTCGATCCTCGGCAGCATTATACCAAAAGGCATTAAAAGATGTCACTTGTTGTTTCCCTGCCTGGTACTCGGCATTGACATGGTTAAGGGGCTAAAACAAGGAATGGTTGTCTCAGAGACAGTATACTGTGTCTGAGCGGGTTATTCTTGCTAAAAGTGTGTCATGGTATATCTGTGGGCTATCTCTATGAAACTGGTATCAGTCTGGACTAGTACAAGGAGCCACACACAAACACGCATACAGGCACATCGCTTTAGAAGTGCAATCATCTTAAACATGATGTTAACCCTCCATGTGTGGTGAGGGCAAAGTGTCTGCTCAAGTCTTGCTACAACCATGTATCTAGCACAATAAGTATTAGGCTTACACCAAAGCTCCAGATCATTTTTTGAGCAATTAAGTTTTGACTCTAGGGTTTTGATTTTAATTGGGTTATTACATTTTTCATTAGGTAACCAATTTTTTTTCATTTGGCTTTCTCAAAATTAGTGAACATTTTAAGATTAAAAAAAAATGAGGTGATGTTTAAGATGTATATAACTGTTCTAAATATATAAGCTTGACTCTGAAAGTAAATTAGCTCGTAATTGTGTTTCGGAAATTAGGTCCTTTGTACGCATGCTGAAAAAGCTTCATTTGGTATTTACGCGAACTGTTTTTCTACATTTGAGTTTTTCAATTAATGCTGGGCGGTCGGGTAGCCTAGTGGTTAAAGCGTTCGCTCGTCACGCCGAATACCCGGGTTCGATTCCCGACATGGGTACAATGTGTGAAGCCCATTTCTGGTGTCCCCCGCCGTGATATTGCTGGAATATTGCTAAAAGCGGCGTAAAACCATACCCACTCACTCACTACAATTAATGCATGTGTTTCTGTACGCAAGTTAATTGAAAGTAATTGGGTTTTGAATATTTGTTTGGGGTACTTTACGCAAATACGCAGCTTATCTGTAGCTCTGCTTACACTCAACATTATGGCATTTGCTATTTGAACAAGAATCTCCAGTTGAGGAGACTGCAGCCCTCATCACCTTCCACCTTTCTGTTGCAGCTGATGCCGATACTGTGGAAGTAGACGAATCTCTGTTCCAGGATATGGATGACCTTGACCTTGACGAAGACGTGGGTTGACGTATTGTTTTATACATGTTAGAGGAATGAATTGTAAATAAATGTATCATTATTTACCTTAAAGACTCTTTTGTTGTGAAGTATCACTCTACAGGTTATTATACATGTAAACATCTGGGGTAGAATATGTCTTCAGCAACACATACTTGCCCTAAAAGACGACTATGCTTGTCAGGGTATGAAACTCCCAAAATTTTCAGCCAGACCACAGGACTGGCTAGCTGAAATACTTGCCAGCCCTGACCAAAACCTGCCTGCCCACTATAATCATATGTTTCTCAGGATAATTTAATTAAAACTTTAAATCGAATTCATTGAACATGAAGTAATGCAAGAAAAGAAATAGCAAACACTTTTTAGGTCAGATTTGTATTTAATATCCTTGAATACATCATGTAAATAATGCTTATCATCGGGAAATATTTAGAATATTTTTACATATGAAATATAACCCGACCGTCGGGCAGGGGGATTTGAAAATCTGGCAGCCCGAGTTGAAATCAACCTGTCTCCTACGGTCGGGCAGGCAGGTATTTCGAACACTGTGCTTGTCGTAAAAGGCGACTATGCTTATCGTAAGAGGCGACTAACAGGATCGTGTGTTCAGGCTCACCTAATTGTGTGGATCGATAATCATGACATGAATCACTGGATTGTCTTGTCTGTAATATTTCTGGGTACAGCAACAAACAAACTACAGGTTATTCTAGTTCCTGTTTTCAGAGTGAGTGAGTGAGTGAGTTGGGTTTAACACCGCTTTTAGCAGTATTCCAGTTATATCACAGCATGTCAGCATAATGTGGGAGGAAAGCCTGAAGTGATGCAGGTCTCAGACGTTTACCACTTCGGTAAAACCTACGATGGGTATGGTGCTGACAAACCTAGAAACATAATCAGGGCGACCCGGGATCGGAACCAAAATCATAGGTTTCTGGCTTTCCGAGGGAGGCAACTCTACACAGCGAATCACGAATCACGGTGCCTTAGACGACTGGGCCACCCGTGCCCCCGTTTTCAGAAATGTATGGTCACCTGACTGTGTTGGCGGCACACTTTGACTGTTGATTAAAGAATTTACTTCAATATTTTTGTGTTTATGGAGTTTAAAATGTAAAAACCACAGGGACTTGTAACCCAATGAAATAGCAATTTCAAGATATATGGTCACACCCAGTGTCCTTTTATATAGTACTGACACTGGGTGTGTTTGTACCGTAATATCTCAATAAATGTGAAAACATTGAAGTCAATCCTTATCAATACATTTACCAAGAATAATATGGAGTGAGTGAGTGAGTTTGGTTTAACGACGTTGGATACAATAGTTTGTGTGCACCTCAGTTCACGTCGTTGCACGCGAATTTACCGTGGCGAATTACCTCCCTTGACGTGCCCTGTCTTCCACATAGTTGGTGGTAGAAGCAACGCCATGTCCTGTCCGTTTATGATTGTGTAAACGTGTACCTTGGCTATCCTTCCCAAACATGAGCCGATATATAACTGTTCCAATGCATCTCAGAATTTTCAGATTCAGTGGGAAAACAGTGTGTAGAGTTCCTACACATTATTTTATTAACTTGGCACATTTTATTCTCCATCCTGAATTTTTAAAATATTCTTTCTTTCTTTTTTTGGTACGAGAAGCATAGCTATTTATGATTAATTAATTGCTATTAATGGATAAACGGAAAGCAGTGTAGAACATCAAACCTGCCTGTTATGTTATATCTCAACACTACTCAATGACAAGCATAAAATGTGATTGATTATATCTAGATAATTAGTTATCTCCCTTTTCAGGTATCAGGATTGACACCCATAGCTTTCTTTGGGCATGCAAATACTCAATATTTTGCGTGGAGACCTACAGATTTTTTTCTACATTTATGTTGCTTGGAGGATATTGTACGTTGCGTGAAAATGGTGACTCTGTAGTGGGTTTAGATCTTCTAAATAACCATTTACATCCTTTGATACCAGAGCCACATTAAATATGTTGCTATTTTCCCTCGATTGTTTCTATTTTTGGTCCTTTTTTACCATACTTATATGTAGTTAACAAACGTAAATAGTAATAAATACTACAAAGTAAGTTTAATTAGACTATTAGGTTAATGTGTTTCAAGGAGTCAGCTTAAGCAATTTTATTATAGTGATGGTAAATCATGTCATTTGAGGCCTACCCCTCTATACGTGGGTGCCACCTACAACAAAGTATAGCATGGAAAGGTATTATTTTTTTATTATTCGGGACAAGTATACTATACTCTCTCTTCATGTTGCATCTCAGAGCGTTGTAGTGGGTTTCACTTATTGTGTCAAACGTTTAACACTGCATTAACAGTATTCCAGTTATATCACGGTGTGTCAGCTTAATGTGGGTGGAAAGCCCGAAGTGATGCAGGTCTCAGACGTTTACCACTTCGTCTAAGGCGCCGCGATTCGCTGTGCAGAGTTGCGTCCCTTGGGCATGCCAGAAACCTATGATTGTGGGTTGGAATCCCGGTTCGCCCCGATTATGTTTCTAGGTTTGTCAGCACCATACCCGTGCTCGTGGGTTTCACCGAAGTGGTAAACGTCCGAGACCTGCATCACTTCGGGCTTTCCTCCCACAATAATCTGACACGCCGTGATATAACTGGAATACTGTAACAACAGTTAAAAGCGGCGTTAAACCAAACTTACACATACACACAATCTTATTGTCATCCTGGGTACAGGCTAAAACATCACCTCCGCAAGAGGTTTACATGGTCCTGTATTTGCGAAAATGGCTACTGGAGGCCAAGCGAAAAGTGCACCTGATATCAATATCTATGATAATGAGAAGAACGAGTACATGCTTGATTCATTGGTAAGATTGAATCTAATTTTAGCCATATTTCCCCAGCTCTAATGTCATTGTCATCTAATACCCTGTCATGCATCTTAAAAACAGTTTGACATTGAGTAAGGGGAGTGAAGACAGTTAAGTCTCCCAATCACCGTCCACATGTAAATTGGAGTAGAGGCTAATTTCTAATGTGAACCTGTTTTGACAATTATTTGAGTTTTGATATGAACCAGTTGGTTAAATTGCAGTTATAATTTGTATTTAAAAACGAAAAAACTTCACTAACTCGTCGTAGTAACCGTTTTGGCTATTGTCGAGGTTCCGTCTTCGCCATTTGGTGCAGTTTTTTCCTTTGACGACAATAATGATAAAAATGTCAGACAATTGACATAACATTTCAAATATGAAGCATCAGCGCAAGCTTGAGTTGTATACAGGACAATCAACACGTTTCTTGTGACAACAATGGCTGTCAAAGTATTTCTTTTAAAATATATGGAAGATATTATTGTTCCTTTTTAAGATTTTGTGTGTGTTAGTGTGTGTGCGTGTGCGTGTTTCGCGCGTGAGTGCGTGCGTGCGTGCGTGTGTGCGTGTGTCAGAGTGTGAGAGAGAGGCTTACAAAGTAGGGCATATTTTCATTTAGTGACCAAAGAGTTCCTGTGTTTGGACACCAGCACTCCATTCCTGCTGAAAAAAACCTTACCTGATCATGGTATTTTGAGCAGCATGGGTATTGCACGTGTTTGACTGAATTGTCATGTTGCATGTGAGTATATGCGTTTTGTGTAACCACACCATTAATCAGTTACAACTTTTGATGTTACACCTTTATTAAAGTATGTACATATGGGTAACCGTAAGAGTTATCTCCCTTAGACCGACACCGCAATATTGCCCAAAGTACAAGGACGACTTATTGTGTGACGGATGTAATCTGAATACCGTAAGAACTCTATAATCATATTTTGGTATGTAATTGTCTGTACAGTTTTGTGTTTATCTGAAGAACATGGGAAGTATGCAACAATGAGGTCCGAGAATTTTAACTTTATAATTTACATCACTTTACTAGTGTAAAGTATAAACTGTTGGTAGAAAATAAAGGAACGAATTACTCGGAAAGAAAGAGTGTCCATCGGGGCAATGAACACCCCAGACAACCAGCGAGTATCAAGCACGGCAATGAACACCCCAGACAACCAGCGAGTATCAATCACGGCAATGAACACCCCAGACAACCAGCGAGTGTCAAGCACGGAAATGAACACCCCAGACAACCAGCGAGTATCCAGCACGGCAATGAACACCCCAGACAACCAGCGAGTATCAAGCACGGCAATGAACACCCCAGACAACCAGCGAGTATTTGGCAGGCGTGCTATGTGGAACATTGTTCCCTGGCCACTCCCTTCCCGTGCATTGTAAAACATTGTTCCCTGACCACCCCTTCCCGTGCATTGTAAAACATTGTTCCCTGACCACCCCTTCCCGTGCATTGTAAAACATTGTTCACTGACCGCCCCTTCCCGTGCATTGTAAAACATTGTTCCCTGACCACCCTTTCCCGTGGATTGTAAAACATTGTTCCCTAACCACCTCTTCCCGTGCTATATGCAACATTGTTCACTGACCACTCCCTTTCTGTGCATTGTGCAACATTGTTCCCTGACCACTCCCCTCCCGTGCCATGTGCAACATTGTTCCTTGACCACTCCCTTCCCGTGCATTGTGAAACATTGTTCCCTGGCCACTCCTTTCCTGTGCGATGTGAAACATTGTTCCTTGACCACTCCCTTCCCGTGCATTGTGAAACATTGTTCCCTGGCCACTCCTTTCCTGTGCGATGTGAAACATTGTTCCTTGACCACTCCCTTCCCGTGCATTGTAAAACATTGTTCCCTGACCACCCTTTCCCGTGGATTGTAAAACATTGTTCCCTAACCACCTCTTCCCGTGCTATATGCAACATTGTTCACTGACCACTCCCTTTCTGTGCATTGTGCAACATTGTTCCCTGACCACTCCCCTCCCGTGCCATGTGCAACATTGTTCCTTGACCACTCCCTTCCCGTGCATTGTGAAACATTGTTCCCTGGCCACTCCTTTCCTGTGCGATGTGAAACATTGTTCCTTGACCACTCCCTTCCCGTGCATTGTGAAACATTGTTCCCTGGCCACTCCTTTCCTGTGCGATGTGAAACATTGTTCCTTGACCACTCCCTT